TAGACGCACTAGCACCTAGAGCGGCAGCCTCACCAGCACCTGAGGCAACAGACACACGAGCACCTAGTGCGGCAGCCTCACCAGTACCTAGAGCAGCAGACTGGATACCGGGGTCAGGCGGCACACACAGGTGACAGGCACTCTCAGCACTAGTAGACAATGCATACATGGCAGTGAGGATAGCATCATAGTCAAGAGCAAAGATATCTACCCTCTGCCTAAGCAGCTCCACCCAGTCGGGGAGCTCAGCGTCGTCGCCAAGCCCTGTACGCCAAGCGTCGCCCAGACGGGCGAAGCAGTGGGACTCTGTGTGACCACGTGTCCCGCAAGGCTGACCAGTCCGGACACCTGTGCGAATGACGTACGGGCAGCGAGCAGTACTCAGTGACCCTCTACTCTGAGCGTACCACTCACGAAGCTGCTGGGGCGAAAGAGCCTCGTGTAGACGACGCTGCTGCTGCACCGGGCCACTACAAGAAACTCCCGAACGACCCACTCCAGGACGACTCCCACTACTGCCACCCCGACAACCCCAACTGGCGTACCACTCACGAAGCTGCTGGGGCATGAGGGACACACGCGGACGGCCCTGGAGCTGCATCTGGCCACGCCAGGAGCAGCAGTAGAAGCAGTAACAACAGTAGCAGCACGGGCAGGGCAGTGCTCACCAGTGGTGGGAAGGGCAGGCGCACGAGCGAGGCGACTGCGGGGCCGCCACAGCGGCCGCTCCAGGGGCGGCTGCTCCAGGGGCGGCTGCTCCAGGGGCCAGGTGCGGCTGCTGCAGGGGCGAGGGGCGGCTCCTGCAGTGGCGGCTGCTCCAGTGGCCAGGGGCGGCTGCTACAGGGGCGGCTGCTCCAGTGGCCAGGGGCGGCTGCTGTAGGGGCGGCTGCTCCAGGGGCCAGGGGCGGCTGCTGCAGGGGCGGCTGCTCCAGAGGCGAGGTGCGGGTTAGGTCAGGGCGGCTCGGTTCGGGCGGCTCGGTTCGGGCGGCTCGGTTCTGGCGAGGCCGTGGCGGTCGCGCGTGGGGCGGCTCGGTTCTGGCGGGGCCGACGGGGCCTCTAAGGGGGGCGGACGCGGGGCCGACGGGGCCGTAGGGGGCCGATAAGGGGCGGCGCGTGGGGTCGACGGGGCCGACGGGGCCGCTAAGGGGCCGTGCGCGGGGTCGACGGGGCCGTAAGGGGCCGCTAAGGGGCGGCGCGCGGGGTCGACGGGGCCGTAAGGGGCCGCTAAGGGGCGGCGCGCGTGGTCGACGGGGCCGTGAGGGGCCGCTAAGGGGCGGCGCGCGGGGTCGACGGGGCCGTAAGGGGCCGCTAAGGAGGGGCGCACGAGGGCGCTGGGGGGAGGCGCTCGAGGGCGCTCCAACAGTAGGGCGCACGAGGGCGCTAGTAGGCAGTCAGTAGTGGTGGGCCCTATGAAAAACTCGGTCGTAGCGGAGGACCTGCTCTGAAACCATGTCAGAAAGAACGAAACAGGAATGATTGAACTAGCACAAAGTTGGGTACAAGTAGGAAACCCTAAGTTTGTGTACCCCCTAAGGCTAAACCCACTATAGCCTACACAATGTAAACATACAATGTTTGACATGACCCGCTACTGAAACAAGCCCTTTTATCCCAGTGGTCTAGTGATTGGGATTCTGACATGGTATCAGAGCTAAATGTATCGGGTTCGAATCCCGGTGTATGCACATGCTGCCGCTTGCGCTGGGCCGTGTCTCGGGCCTCCCAGTCTGGGGAGGTGTCAGAAGACCTACACTATGGATCCCCGATTGATCCTAGGAAGGGTTATAGGCCTGTTGACGGGGGGGGGGGGGTTATGGGCGCACTGACCCGCTACTGAAACAAGCCATTTTATCCCAGTAATAGAGTGATCGTGATTCTTACAGAAACCATGTCAGAAGTGTGAACAGTGAAACAGGAATGATCTAGCAAGAGAGTGATACGAATAGGGAATCACTAACAGGAAAAAGAGTGGTACTCACTGTCAGAATGTCATTGTTCTCTAGCCTGCAGTGGGGTACTCTATAGCGAGTACAACCCCTTAGGGTTTCCTATATGTATCCTGCTGCTTTCTAGTGAACCCCCCTCTTTTGCCTAAACTTCTCTTGCCTAGCTAGGACTTACCTAGCTATGGCTCCTAACTCTACCTACTATTTTCACATGCTATCAGAGCAGGTCGATCCCCTTGGGTCGATCCTGTGGGTGGGCTCACCACCTCACTGCTTCCGCTGCTACTGCTACTCTCTGTGTCGCACGCCCCGTGGCGTGCGACGGATTTTTCATCCCGCCGCGCGCTCGGAGCGTGCGGCGGTTTTCTGCCCGCCGTGCGCCCCGAGGCGCGCGGCGGTTTTCTGCCCGCCGTGCGCCCCGAGGCGCGCGGCGGTTGTCTGCCCGCCGTGCGCCCCGAGGCGCGCGGCGGGTTTCTGCCCCGTCACTCCGCGCGTCGCTCCCGGGAGGCGCTGCGACGGGCGACGGGGACCCGCGCGTCGCCCCCCGTCGCCCGTCGTGGTCTGCGCGCGGCTCGTACAGCCTGCGCGCGGCCCGTACGGGCTGCGCCAGGCCCGCGCGCGGCTCGGGCCGCCTGCGCGCGGTTCGGGCGGCTGTGCCAGGTCCGTGGGCGGCCCGTTCTTCGCTGCCCCTGCGCTGCCCGCTGTCCCCCGTGCTTCTGATGGCGCCCCACCCCTGCTGCTGCCCGTTCTCCTGAATTAGGGTTTGGGGGTGGGGGGTCTAGGGGTGCAGCTTCTGTGTGCCGTCCCCTGCTCCTCCTCCTCCTCCGTCTCCCAGTGCTGCAGCTGCCGCTGAGGGGGGTGGACCTGTTGGAGCCGTCGGAGTGGTACTAAGGGGGGTGAAGGGGGAGTGGAGCTAGGGGTGAAGCAGGGGGTGTGTGTCAGGGGGAGTGGGACTGTTTGGGGAGGTTGAACTGAGGTTGCCGTCGTGTCGCCAGCAGCACCTGTAGTCCGGGGAGTTGCTCCGGTAGCCCAGTTGCAGCCAGCTGTGCCAGTCGCCCGTGGGTCCGTTGCTCGTCTGCCGCTACTTTTAGCCGCGGAGCCAGTTACTCCAGTAGTCCGGAGCGTTGTTCCGGTAGCCGCTGTGCCAGTGTGACTCCTGTTGCCCGTGTGTCTGCAGCTTCAGCCGTCGCCTCCTATCTCCTCTCCTCTCACTCTCGCCTCCTCCTCCTCACTTGCCCTCTGCGATAGCCTCTAGCTTTGCTCATAATTGTGAACTTTAAACTATTGCTTCTTGTACTTGTGCTCAGAATGTGTGGTGACATTGTGATCCACCCTGAGCTTGTTCTGCTTTGCTTGCTCTGCTGATTACACCCCACTTTGGCTATGGGGGTGTGTCAGAATGTCATTGTTCTCTAGCCTGCAGTGGGGTACTCTATAGCGAGTACAACCCCTTAGGGTTTCCTATATGTATCCTGCTGCTTTCTAGTGAACCCCCCTCTTTTGCCTAAACTTCTCTTGCCTAGCTAGGACTTACCTAGCTATGGCTCCTAACTCTACCTACTATTTTCACACTCACTATAGAGCAACCCAATATACCGTGATCTCCCGGTTACAAGACCCCCCCGCATAAAAGCCCCGTGGGTCTTCTATCCAGACCAGGGGTCTTTTATTAAGTCAGTCCTGGAGAGGACCCGTCTTTTGACCCAAATCATTATAAGACCCCCCCTTAGGCTATAATGAGTGGTGTTAGTTCATGAGCTGGTTAGCGAGTCACACAAAAAACCACCAAATTCACTTTGTCAGGCGAATTTGTGGTCAAGGGAGTCAAGATGCTACATCAATCACGCGTTTTTGCCGCCCTTCAGGCAACAAATGCTGACGTGCCTGTCATTATTAGGCATTTCTGAACGTGCGGAAAGGAATCTGGGAGACTCGAGTGCGAGAATCTGAGAATGAATTTCCGCGCTGTGAAGGAATCCGAAATTCAGTACAGAAATTTCGAATTTCTTCAACACTGCACTACAAAATCCATTTTTCAGTAATTAATAGATGTCCAGGGGTCTTATGCACTTCATGTCATTACATAAGACCCCACAACCCAGTTCGAGCACATTTAGGATAAGACCCCCGGGTCTTCTAGGCGGGAGATCACGGTAGCCCAAAACTAACATACGGTATGCAACACATACGGTATGTATAATTTGACAATATTCTGCGTATTTGCTCGGATCACTTAGGGCTGCCGTAGAGGTGGCTTTGCAACGAGCTCGGGCGCGCATGATCCTTTTGCGTGCATCGTCAATGATGAGGGGTTCGGAATCCGGTGGGTTCAGGGTGGAGCGTGAGAATACCAAGAAGAATGTAGGGTGGGACGCTCCGTGGGTGGATGCGCCCTCCTTGGTGGACATGCGTGCGTAGAGGCTGGGTACGGTGTTAAGTATGATTTAGAGGGCTTGTCGTGGTATGTTCCCTACAATTTGTGCTCGTTTTCTGGAGCCATATTCACTATAAAAAAAGGCAAGCCGTTTTAATTTGCAAAACTGATTACATGCTTGTAGATTGGCTGATAGTGATTCAAACCCCATCTTGTAATGTTTAGCTGTAATTTGTTTAAATGAAAACCACTATATATGGTTATGTACAGCACATACATCATGGAAACATAGACAATAACTACCCCTAAGCTGCAAATTTATAGCGCAACAATTTTGGCGGGAAATTTGACTTTACGAAAGTGTGTTTCTGACGACGCTCTCAAGGGTTAGCTGGAATGGCTTGGTTGGATTGGATGGGAGGGGGAGGAAGCCATTCCCTTGGCTCGACTACTCGAGGCGACATGCAGGAGGAGCAACAGCATCCTGGTTAGACCCTGGGAACAGTAGTAGTCTCCTAATGCGACCTTGAGAATCTCCGCTACCGACGCAGTGAATAGGGTAGTTCCATCTCACGAATCTCTCTCTGTCTTGTTCATTTTGCCATATTCTTACACCGCAGCAGTCTGTTCTTTGCTTCTTTTGATCTTCCGCGAGTCGGAGCTTGCTCCTTAGCCACAAGATGCCAGGTCCTCAGGTACACCAGGGCATGGTTCACCGGATAGAGGTGGAGAACTTTAAGTCATACAAGGGTCGGCAGGTCATCGGCCCGTTCATGAATTTCACAGCCGTGGTTGGCCCGAATGGCGCGGGGAAATCGAATCTCATGGACGCCATAAGCTTCGTGCTGGGCGTGCGGTCGGCGCATCTACGCGGCTCGCAGCTCAAGGATTTAATCTACGCCTTGGACGACGACGATCGCGATGACCCGAACCGCGGCGCGCACGTGATGCTGGTGTATATAAAGTCGTCGCAGCCCGCGTCGACGTATTCGGGGATGGAGGAGCTGCAGTTCACTCGCGCTATAACGAGTTCCGGCAGCAGCCAGTATCGGATCAACGGCTCGGTGGTTTCGTGGGACGGCTACAACTCGCGGCTCAAGGACATCGGCATCCTCGTTAAAGCACGAAATTTCCTCGTCTTTCAGGTCCGTGCAACAATAAGGCTTTCCTTAAAAGGAAAAAAAAAACATTCTCTCGTGAGTGAAACGAAGTATCAATTTCAGCACGTGTGTCGTCGTGCACGCGAAGCTGACATGGCGTCCTGTCGTGCTTCCGCAGGGTGACGTGGAGTCGATCGCGTCCAAGAGCCCCAAGGAGCTGACGGGGCTGTTCGAGCAGATCGCGGGGTCGGACGAGCTGCGCAAGGAGTACGAGGCGCGCGAGGCGGACAAGAGCCGCGCGGAGGAGCGCACCATGTTCGCGTACCAGAAGAAGAAGAACATGAGCTCGGAGAAGAAGCACAAGAAGGAGCAGAAAGAGGAGGCCGAGCGCCACCTCAAGCTGCAGCAGGATCTGGTGGGCGAATCCGATGCTGCTTCACTCGGCGTTTTTGTTTTGTTTTGTTTTTTTTTCTCCTGCCGTTACTTTATTTGGAGTTATTCTGACGATCCGCACGGGCTCGTTTGTTGGTGTGCTCTTGTTCTGGTGTTGCAGAAAGACAAGCGCGCCGAGTTCTACCTGTGGCAGCTGTACTGCATCGAGAAGGAGATGAACGCAGCTCGCAGCGCGCTGGCGTCGTCGCGTGAGGAGCTGCAGCGCGTGCAGGAGGAGCAGGGCGACGTGGAGAAGCGGCAGCGGGAGAAGATGCGCGAGCGCGCAGTGCATAGTAAGGACGTGCTGACTGCCGAGAAGAAGGTGGCGCGCAAGGCTGCAGAAATTGACAAGAAGGCAAGTCCCATCACATGCTTTAACTCTTGGAGCCTTCAGTGTGCTTCACAACGAAGTCGGAAATGTGTTCGTTTCTGTCCTCGCTACCCATTCCGACGCTGACCTGCTTTGGCTGTTTTTTTCCTGCCTGCAGCGACCCGAAATGGTGAAGGTGAAGGAGGAGATGCGGCGCGCGGAGCAGCGGCTGAAGGAGGACGTGGAGAAGCTGGAGAAGCTGCAGGCGCTGCAGGCGCGGCAGCAGGAGGAGGTGGCGCGGCTGGAGCGCAGCCTGGAGGACGTGCAGGGCGAGCTGGCGGACATGGAGGGCATGAGCCAGGCGGGCGGCCAGCAGCAGCTGCACCTCGCGCAGAGCCAGCTGGAGGAGTACCACAAGAGGTGGGGACCTTTTTTTTCCCTCTATTCCGTGGACTTACGACCTTGTTGAAGCGCTTTAGTCGAAGGTGTTTTGAACTAAATAGGTGATTTTATGTTTCCCTGGTTGTGTTTGCTGCTCTTGGCTGAGAATTGTTTCCCTGGTTGTGTTTGCTGCTCTTGGCTGAGAATTGTTTCCCTGGTTGTGTTTGCTGCTCTTGGCTGAGAATTGTTTCCCTGGTTGTGTTTGCTGCTCTTGTTGTTGTTGTTGCTGCTGCTACTGCTGCTGTTGTTGCCTTTCAGGAAGGAGGAGGCGGGGTCGAAGACGTTCAGGCTGCGGCAGGAGAAGGAGGCGCTGGACCGGCAGCAGCAGGCGGACGTGGAGGCGCAAAGGAGCATGGAGGCGAGTGTGGCGCAGATGGCGGGCAGGGAGGAGCAGCTGGGCGGGCACCTGGAGCAGGCACGGGCGCGCGTGGAGCGCGTGGGGAAGGACCTGGCGGAGGGGAGAGAGGCTCTTGAACGGCTGAAGAAGGAGGAGACTGAGATGCGCGATCGCCACCGCCGCGCTCGGTAAGTTGGTTGGTTGTTGCTGGCGGACGGATGGCAGGAGGGGGGGGGAAAGGAGGGGGGTTTGAGAAAGGTGGGAAGGGGGGAGGAAATGGGAGGGGAAAGGGAATGGGGTTGGAAGCGGGTGGAGGGGCGAGGATCTCTGCATATGTGTTTGCTTCTGGTGTTTCTGAATGATAATGTCCTTGTCCAACCCTCGCGCGTACGATTGATATATATTTCCTAAACCCCTGCGAGCAGGCACCGAGCAGAGGCGCTGGAGCAGCGGTTGGAGGAGGCAGAGGCGCAGCTGCGGGAGCTGAAGGCAGACCGGCGGGAGAACGAGCGCGAGACGAGGATGGCAGAGACTGTGGCGACCATGAAGCGCCTGTTCCCGGGCGTGCATGGGCGGCTGTCGGATCTCTGCAAGCCCACACAGCGGCGGTTCAACATGGCGGTTACTGTGGTGATGGGGAAGCTGTTTGATGCCGTGGCTGTGGATGATGAGCGCACGGCCAAGGAATGCATTGAGGTGCGTGGGTGGAAGTGAGGAGGGGGGGTGGAGATGAAGGGGTTGGAGGGATTGAGTGGGTAAAGCTAGGGGTTGTGTGCTTTTTGCTGCTGCAGTTGCGTTCTCTATGCGCCTAAGTTGACCCACACTAATCACATGGGCTTAAGCCTCCAGAGATATTGTTTCACCTCGTCCCCTGCTCTCTCCCTGCACACCTAACTCGTTTCTTCGTCTCTCCTCTGCCTTCTCTTCCTGTGCTTCCCCTCTCTCTCCCTGCACACCAGTACCTGCGAGCACAGCGCCTCCCGCCCATGACCTTCATTCCGTTGCAGACGGCGCGAGTGAAGGCAGTGAACGAGCGCCTGCGGTCGCTGGGAGGCACCTGCAAGCTTGTGCTGGACGTCATTCAATATCCTACTCACCACAATCTCTCCACTCTATTTCCCTTCCTGTTCCGTCTTCACTCCTCCGATGCTGCTCTGATTTTGCCCACCCGCCGCAACTCCTCTCCTCTCCCTTGTGCCTGATCATAGTTTCTCGTTTCCCCGTTGCTCCTATGCTGGCTCTTGTTTGCTGTTTCTCCATCCTTTGTTCTCCTTAACTCTTGTTTTGCCGTTTTATCGCTGTGCTGACTGTGCTTGTGCGCTGTTGCTGGGAGCACGTACGACCCATCAGTGGAGGTGGCGATGGTGTATGCGGTGGGCAGCACACTCGTGTGTGATACTCTGGATGAGGCTCGCTCTGTTGCGTGGGGCGCCGAGAGGCACAAAGGTTAGTGCGTGCGTGTGTGTGTGTGTGTGTGTGTGTGGGTGGGAGGGAGAAAGAGGGGGAGAGGGTCTGCCTCTGCATGTGTGTGTGGGGTGGGGGGAGGTGTATGTCTGTGGTTCTGTGTGTGTGTGTTTGTCTCCTCCGTCATCCTGTTTCACGGCTCGTTTGTATGTGACATGCAGTGGTAGTTCTTGACTGCATTGTCTAGCCCCGCCCTCCTGTCTGTTGTATCATCTTCTTTCCACACATGGTCTTAAAATACGTCGACTCAGAATTCCCTTTTTTGTGTGTGTTTGTTGCATGTGTTTGCGTGCGTGCGTGGATGTGTGTGTGTGTGGGTGTGTGGGTGTGGGTGTGTGGGTGTGTGTGTGGGTGTGTGTGTGTGTGTGTGTGTGTGTGTGTGCGTGCGTGCGTGCGTGCGTGTGTGCATGCTGCCACATCCTGTTTCACCACCCCTTGTGTGAATGGCACGCAGTGGTGGCACTGGACGGCACGTTGCTGGCCAAGAACGGGTGCATGACAGGGGGCACCAGTGGAGGCATGGAGACACGCTCGCAGCGCTGGGACGAGCAGGAGGTCGAAAGTACGCTCACTACATGCCATGCTTATTCGATTCCTCCTTATTTTTGTGGTATTCTTTGAGTTGTGCGCTTGGTTCCCCCCTTCCCCCCCCCCCCCGCCTCCCCTCCTCCACCCCCCTCACCCATGGTGCCTGCCCTCACTCCCTGCCGTTATCCGTTTTACACACTGCATCCCTGCGTCACGACTGTGTTTCTTAATTGTGAATGTGTCCATCATTCGTTTGTGTGTGTGTGCGTGTGTGCGTGCGTGTTTGTGTGAGTACGTGTGTGTGCGTGCGTGCGTGTGTTTGTGTGAGTACGTGTGTGCGTGCGTGCGTGCGTGCGTGTGTGTGTGTGTGTGCGCGCGCACACGTGTGCGGCAGAGCTCAAGGCAGCGCGGGACAAGGTGGCAAAGGAGCTGTCAGAGGTGCTATCAGTGCGGGAGGCGCAGAGCAAGGAGCAGGAGATTGCTGCGCGGATTGCAGGGCTAGAGAGGAAGACACAGTACGCAGAGATGGAACTGGTGCGTTTGGTGTGCTGTGTGCTGTGTGCTTGTGCTTGCCTGCTCTCTTCCCATTCTCCCCTGCTGCTCCGACTGCCACGCGTAAGCCCCTGGGGTTGCATCTTCGCACAGATTCCACCCTTACCTTGTGGATGCATGCGTGTGGACCAGCCTTTCTTGTGCTCTCTCCACCATCTCCTTCTTTTTCTCTCACCATACTCACCTTTCCTTTCCCGTGACCCATTCTTGAGCATTCTTGAGTGTGCAGAAAATGTCAGAGGAGAAGGTGGGCAAGGCGGAGCAGGAGCTGGCAGTCATGGCGGCAGAGAAGGACAGAATCGCCCCAGAAGTCACACGGGTCAGTGCCTTGTAATGTAATGCCCCAGTCAGTTCAGTTCCTCCGCTGCTTGCTCTTCCTGCCTGCTGTGCCCACACTCTTCAAACGTCATGGCGTCTTCAATCAACCTTCCTTCACCTTTCTACCTTCCTCACACATGTGACATGCACACGCTCTCCATCTCTCTGTCGATCTTCTCTTCTGTGTGCAGCTGACAGCAGCGGTGGGGGCACGGCAGGAGCAAGTCGGGGCGAAGGAGCAGAGGATAAACGAGATCACGGACCGGGTGTTCCGCGAGTTCAGCCGTGCAGTGGGCGTGGCAAACATACGAGAGTACGAGGAGAACCAGCTGCAGCAGGCGCAGCAGCTTGCTGAGCGCAGGCTCGCCCTTGCCAACCAGATTGCCAAGCTCTCCAACCAGTGAGTACAGGGATGCCGCCTCTGTTATGAGTTGGAGGAAAGTAGTTCAGATTTTTGTGAACGAATTTGTGAATCCGTTGGGCATTGTTGTGAGCTGCTGTGGTGTGAATAGTGCGGGAGCAGGAGACAGCTGCTAAACACCATCTGTTCCTACTGAATGGGGTCCTCGTGTTTGCGTACGCATGCGGGCACGCGGGCATGTGTGCGTGTGTTTGTGTTTGTGCGTGCCTGTACGTGCGTCTGTGCTTGTGCGTATGTGCCGTCTGCGTGGCACACAGGTTGGAGTACGAGCGGCGGCGGGACAGCAAGGGGCCAGTGGAGGCGCTACAGGCGAGCATGGAGCAGCAGAGGCAGCACCTGGAGGAGCTCACGCACACGGGGCGCAGGCTGCAGGCCGCTCTGGAAAAGGCCAGAGACGAGCTGCAGGCACTCAAGGTGCCCGTGGAAGGTGAGGTGCCGGAGGCTGCAGCCTGGAGGAAGTAAATGAGTGGATGGTGCAGGTGGAAGTTGAGGGCTTGGGGTAAGGGTTTAGCATGAGCTGCAGGCACTCAAGGTACCCGTGGAAGGTGAGGTGCCGGAGGCTGCAGCCTGGAGGAAGTAAATGAGTGGATGGTGCAGGTGGAAGTTGAGGGCTTGGGGTAAGGGTTTAGCATGAGCTGCAGGCACTCAAGGTACCCGTGGAAGGTGAGGTGCCGGAGGCTGCAGCCTGGAGGAAGTAAATGAGTGGATGGTGCAGGTGGAAGTTGAGGGCTTGGGGTAAGGGTTTAGCATGAGCTGCAGGCACTCAAGGTACCCGTGGAAGGTGAGGTGCCGGAGGCTGCAGCCTGGAGGAAGTAAATGAGTGGATGGTGCAGGTGGAAGTTGAGGGCTTGGGGTAAGGGTTTAGCATGAGCTGCAGGCACTCAAGGTACCCGTGGAAGGTGAGGTGCCGGAGGCTGCAGCCTGGAGGAAGTAAATGAGTGGATGGTGCAGGTGGAAGTTGAGGGCTTGGGGTAAGGGTTTAGCATGAGCTGCAGGCACTCAAGGTACCCGTGGAAGGTGAGGTGCCGGAGGCTGCAGCCTGGAGGAAGTAAATGAGTGGATGGTGCAGGTGGAAGTTGAGGGCTTGGGGTAAGGGTTTAGCATGAGCTGCAGGCACTCAAGGTACCCGTGGAAGGTGAGGTGCCGGAGGCTGCAGCCTGGAGGAAGTAAATGAGTGGATGGTGCAGGTGGAAGTTGAGGGCTTGGGGTAAGGGTTTAGCATGAGCTGCAGGCACTCAAGGTACCCGTGGAAGGTGAGGTGCCGGAGGCTGCAGCCTGGAGGAAGTAAATGAGTGGATGGTGCAGGTGGCAAGTGAGGGCTTGCTGGTCATAGTGGAAGGTAAGGGCTTGGTGGAGGAGCTAACACACACGGGGCGCAGGTGCAGGTCGCAGGTCGCACTGAAAATGACCGGGACGAGCTGTGGGCGCTTCAAGTGGTGCCTTTGGAAAGCAAGGTTTTAACAGGGGTTGCCACAACAAGGCTGTACATCTATTGAGTTGGCCTTCAGTCTGTTAATCAATGGCCAAGCTTCCGGAGCCCCTGTTGGTATTAGGAGCTCGCAGGGTTTCCAACGTTTCTGTTGAATGCTTCACTGTGTGGTGTTTAACCACGCTCCGATCCTTCTATCTCATCACTCCCATTTATGGTGTGTGGCTCTATCCAGCCAGACCCCCGTTCCAATTTTCTGTGTCCCCCACTCTGCGTGCAGAGGCGAAGGCGCAGGCAGAGGCAGTGGAGGCAGAGGTGCAGGCACTGAGCAAGGCTGCCAGTGCACTCACGGCGAAGCTGGGCAAGGCCAAGCGCAGCATCACAGCCAAGGTGCGCTTCATAGTCCACTCAGAACGTAGCTTGAAGCGCAAGGAGGAGTGCTCTCCACACGGGCTAGGTGGTGCTCTGCGCTCCTCTTGCCTCTTCTGCTCGAATCGATCCTGTATGCTACTTTCTTTCTGCCCTGGGTCTGCCTGACCTTCCATCTAGACCCTGTGAGGTAGTTGTGTGGTAATGTGGTTTGCATCTGCTTGATTATTGCGTTCTCTTGATTGCTGTGCCTGGTTACCATTATGATTGACAATGGGAAACAAGGACGAGAGTGCCTGCTGCGCGCTCGTGCTTCCTTGATTGTCCCTCTTATCCTGCCTTCTTCTGCGTCTCCCTCTTCTCCCCTACTTCCCGTACTTTCCCCTCTCCTCCCCCCTCTGCAGGAGGCGATGGTGGTGCAGCTGCACGCGCGGCGAGGAGAGGTCCTAGAGCGGTGTGAGATGGAGCAGGTGCCAGTGCGCACAGCAGCGGGCGCTCTCGTTTCTTTTGTTATCGCCCGTCTCATCCTGCCTTCTTCCGCTTCTCTCCATCTCCCTTTCCCAGGAGGCGATGGTGGTGCAGCTGCATGCGCGGAGGGGAGAGGTTCTAGAGCGGTGTGAGATGGAGCAGGTGCCAGTGCGCACAGCAGCGGGTGCGCTCGTGCCCACAGTGCCGCTCACTGACACACAAGCAACAGGAGCAGCAGGGGGGTCCAGCCAGGCAGGCAGCAGCAGCGCTGTGGGCAGCGGGGGGGGCGCGGCAGCGGATTTCTCGGCAGGGGTGGACGAGCCTTTGGATTTCTCGACTCTGCCTTCGGGCCTGAAGAAGGTGAGTTGCGTGTTGTTCGGGCCTTTGGATTTCTCGACTCTTCCTTCACACATATACATGTATAGCTTAGATGTACATATATACGGTACAACGTATGAACTTGATAGAGTGTATGCGGACTAAGTCTCTCTGTGGTGCCGAACTGCTGCGACGGGGCTGTGTGCAGGCGATGAAGGAGGAGGAGAGGGAGCGCAAGGAGGCGGAGCTGCGCAAGGAGATGGAGGAGGTGGCGGGGGAGCTGGAGCGCACAGCACCCAACCTCAAGGCGCTGGAGCAGTTTGAGGCCCTGCGCGCCAAGGAGAGGGAGATGAGCGAGGAGTTTGAGAGCATTCGGCGCGAGGCCAAGGAGGCGGTGAATGCGTTCAACCACGTGCACCAGCAGCGGTGCGTGTTATGCCATGCGTGCTTGTGTCGGTTTTGTCGAGTTCTTTATAGGAGTTTGAGAGTGTTTGGTGCGAGCGGTGAACGCGTTCAACCATGTGCACCAGCAGCGGTGCGTGCCATGCCTGCTTGTATTGTGTTTGTTGAGTTTGCTTAAGGGAATGTGAGAGCATTTGGCGCGATGGCAAGGGGGCAGTCAACGCCTTCAACCACGTGCGTGCACCAGTAGCGGCTGTCATCATTTATCAACCGCATCTACAAACACCTCAGAAATGTCTCACATACTACCCACCCACTTTTCCCCTCTCTCAATCCCCCCTCCCGCATCTCTTTCTCTCCTCCCCTTCCCCATCCCCCGCCCTCCCTCCCCACTGCAGCTACGAGCGGTTCATGGCAGCGTTTGCGCACGTGTCAACATGCATCAACAGCATCTACAAGGGCCTCAGAAATGTCTTACGTACTAGCCCCACCCAACCTTCCCCTCTCTCAATCCCCCCTCCCCGCATCCCTTTCTCTTCCCCCCTCCTTCCTCCCTCCCTCCTACAGCTATGAGCGGTTCATGGCAGCGTTCGCGCACGTGTCAACGTGCATCAACCGCATATACAAGGACCTCACGAGCAGCTCCTCGCACCCGCTGGGAGGCACGGCATACCTGAGTCTGGAGAACGAGGACGAGCCCTTCCTGCACGGCATCAAGTACACCGCCATGCCTCCCAGCAAGCGCTTCCGAGACATGGAGCAGCTGTCCGGAGGGGAGAAGACCGTCGCTGCGCTCGCACTGCTCTTTGCCATCCACAGGTGGGGGTTTGATGCCTTGATGCTCCTGCTGGTGCTTGCTGGTGGTCCGTCTGCTTATGTAATGTGACGATGTATGTGTTGATGATAACTGCTGTTCTCCTTGCTTCTTCTTTGGTCATGGCTTGTGAGGTTCATTTGTCGTCACTCGCTGCACAGGGCTTCCTGTAACCCGCCTTTCCGTTTCCTATTTGCACCTCGTCTTGCTCTCCTTTGATCTTCCTGTCTTCGTAACGCCCTCCCCTCTACATCCCTCCCCTTCACCTTCCCGCCCGTTCCCCTTTCTCCTCCACTGCAACTCCCCTTCCCTCACCCTCCACCCGCCTGCAGCCACCCCGCCATCGTTGCTCTTTCCCTCCCATGGCACATCCCATTTCCCACTCTCACTCCCGCTCCCCCTTCTGCCCTCCTCCCCACTCTCTCTCTCTTCCCCACTCTCCTCGGTCCCCCAGCTACCGCCCGTCGCCCCTCTTTGTGTTGGACGAGGTGGATGCAGCTCTAGACAACCTCAACGTGGCCAAAGTCGCGGCTTACATCCGCGCCAAGTCCCGCCACACCGCTCACGCCTCCGACCAGCAGGCCCCGGAGGGCCGCGCTGCTGCTGATGCCTCGCAGCAGCTGGCAGACGGGGCGGGCGGAGCGGGGGGTGAGGCGGGGTTTCAGAGCATTGTCATATCGCTCAAGGACCAGTTCTACAGCTGGGCTGATGGACTCATTGGGGTCGTGCGCGATTCCGAGGACAGGTGTGGGCCACCAGGGGAGAGGGATGGTAGAAGGGGGAGTGAGTGAGGGGTCATGATGGGAGCGGGGGGTGAGGCGGGGTTTCAGAGCATTGTGATATCGCTCAAGGACCAGTTCTACAGCTGGGCTGATGGGGTCATTGGGGTCGTGCACGACTCTGAAGACAGGTGAGGGCTGGGAGGATGGGGATGGCACAAGGGTGGGGTTGAGTGAGCGCGGAATGAGTGAGGGGGAGTGAGTGAGGGCGGTAGACTTGAGGGAGTGTGTGTTGTGGCAGGGGTAGTGGTTGGCATGTGTGTGTGTGCAGTGTTGTGATGTTGGGGTCCACTGCCCTTGCTGCTGCCTTCTGCTCACTGCCAGCAGCCTTTTGTTGCCTTGGCACATTGCCTTGGCTCTTGTCTTGGCCCATTGCTTTGGTCTTTTCCTTGGGTGGATTCTGATCCGTGACTTGGAGGTAGGATTGGAGTATGGAATGCTGTGGTTTTTTATTTACTCTTTTCTCCTATGTTCTGCTTGTGCATGCACATGGGAATGTGTGGTGTCATATGTATGTGGCTTTGTGTGCATGTGTGCAAATGTGTGCGTGTGTCTGTGTGTGCACGCGTGTCTCTCTTGGTGCGTGTGTGCGTGTGCGTGTGAGCTTGTGTGTGCGTGTGCGTGCGTGTGTCCGTGTGTGGGTGTGGGTGTGCGTGTGCGTGTGTGTGTGCATGTGGCATGTGCCATGGCTGGGCAACACACACTCGTGGATGGCATGGGCTGCAGCTGCTCCAAGACCCTCACCTTTGACTTGTCCCAGTATGCTGCGTGAGACTGTCCAGAGGAACAACTTCCCTGCTGTGCTGCGTTGCCTTGCGTTGGCCACCGGAGCAGAAAATGGGTGTGTTGATGGGATGTTTGTTACAGTTCTCTGTCGTCATTGTCCAACGAACCAATTTGTACATAGTGTTATAGTGGGTGGCAGGCAGGCAATTTCACCACCAGGCGGGTCTGCAGACTGCAGTGCACAGAAAGAATGCTTATTACTATCCAAAGGTGTAAACTTTTGCTACTCAATTCAGAGCTGAATCTGAGGTGTTGAATTGATTGCTAAGCCGAGAGGCAGTGCAGAACGCCAGGTAGAAGCTGGCCACTTCGAATGAAATCACGAGCAACTCAATGCAACTGAGCTGCTTGCTCGTCTGAAAGCATCGTCATGTTACCACTATACGGAAATTCACTATGGCGAGACACGGGGTGTATTGAGACGGTGGTCTGTGATCGATGTACAATTGTCGCAGCGCACTCAGCTTTGCAGCAACCAAAGCTGCCTGCGTTATCGGTTTGCCGAGCCTGCCTTCCGCAAAGTTCGGGGCCCACTGACCAATCAATATCTCTTGTTCCAAACAGTGACACTGCCCAGACACAGCAGTTACGAGACTTCGCATAAACACTGCCCATCGACACTCTGACCGAACACGAAGTCCTGTTGGCGTGCGAAACCGCGCCATGGAAGGTTATTTTGAGCGGAGTGCGGATACATAAATAAGTACATAAAAACTTATCAAGCGAGAGACTTGTGTCGCAATAGTTTTCTCGCAGTCAGCCATCGACCATCGAACCAGACCCCATCAGAAACGCTTGCATTTGAGCCTTCCGACTGGGTCTCCTGCCCCGACTTTGCCGACTTTGACGGGCACCTTGCTGCACGGGAGGATCAAGTTACCCTACATCGCACCTTTTTGTTCCTGCTTCTTTCCATGCATACCACAGGTTGTCTGGTGGAGCCGATTCCTGATGAAAGGCGGGGTGGGTTTCCCTCCGACCTGGTACAGTACCGACGCAGAACTCAATTCGAGATTTTGAAGGTTTCCTCTCGGTAAAATTCGGTTATCCCTTGACCGCAGTGAACCGTGTTGTTGACTCTTCTCCAATTTTTTTTTCCCGCGTCCCCCATTTCGACGTTTTGGTGACGCATCTTGTGGGACCCTGTCAAGGAAGAATTCACGTCTTTTGCAAAGGGTCCAGCGAGGTCGATAAGCACTACCTGACGTTTCTGTGCGGTTTGAGCTTACAAGGAACTCTTGGGCCCTGACGTGAATGCGGGTCGCTGGGCAAGACGGGGGATGCAATTTCTTGTACTTCTTGGATTGCCTCCCAATTTTCAATCTCAGAAATTCACATTTTCACATCAGCCTTGCCAGCCATGTCTACCATCAGCAACTTCAGCCTATGCTAACGTTTAGTCCCCTTCCGTCTCCTACTCCCACCCTCCAGGCTCCTTTTCTAGCCTGGAGGGACCCTTGACTGCGTGGACTCTCGCCCGCCAAACCCGCCGCCCACCTTTCCCGGCCGGCCTTTCCCGACCAAACTGCTCCGTACTGTCCCGCCTCTCGTCGCGACCTCATAACCTCCCCTCTAACATTTCGCTGTGCTCTCCCACCCATTCCTCGCCCCCTTGCGCTTCGCTTCATCTCCCGGCCACTCACTCACTCGCCATCCTGTTTCACGGCTCGAGACAGCATTCCCCTGCTCGCATTCTCCTGCCTGTATTTCCCTCCCCTCCTGTGCGCGGTCCATCCAACACCCCGCATAGCACGCCGTCGCCGCTGCAGCCGCCACCACTTGCGGCCCGTCGACCCGCCATCGCTTGTTAACACCCGTTCTGCCCAGTGGTCCAAGGAAGCAGCCGCCGTCGTCGTTGTCTGCGAGTCCCCACACCGCTACTGTCCACGCAGCCAGCGCAGTCGGCGGTGCAGAGAAAAGAAGACTCGGCGGTTCCGCCGCAAGCATGGCGAGGCCGCGTCCGTCGCACCAAAGGCGCGCTGCGGCATCCGCGGCACCCGCAAGCAAGCTCAGGGCGGTGCGCCGCTCCGTCCCCCTAAAAGCTTCCGCGGCGAGGCGCTCCGGTCTGCGGAAAGCCGCCGCGGGGTTAGCAGCGCGCAGCGCGGGAAGGACGAGGGCGGGGACGGGGAGGACTCCCGCCAAGACACCCAGGACTCCCGCGAAGAAGACTCCGACCAAAGCCACCCCGGGCAGGTCGACCCCGGGCAGGTCGACCCCAGGAAAAGAGACCCCAGCCAAGGCGACCCCCACCAGAAGGTCCGCGGATCGTCGGCAGGCCGCGCGGGCCAATGGTGCGCGCGCATCGCGCCCTGCTGTCGCATCCGCAGGGAAGGCTCGGGCGACGCGCAAAGCCGCCATGCCGGCGGCGGCGAAGGCGGCGCCAAAATCGGAGCCTCGGAAGCGATCGAGGCGCGAGGCCCTGGCAACGGAGAGCGAGGAGGAAGTGGAAGAGGTGGAGCAGGTGGCGGAAATGGCGGAAGTTGCGGAGGTTGCGGATGTTACGGAAGTTGAAGTTGCGGAGGAGGTGACAGAGATGGGGGAAAGTGGCGGGCGGCGGAGGAGCCTGCGCGCGCACAAGTCCCCCGCTTTCTACCAAGTGGCGGAGTGGCGCTCGCGCGCCGCGCGCAGGGCTGATCGATCCGGAGACTCGTCGGAAGAGGAGGATGACGAGGACGAGGAGGAAGAGGGGGAGGAGGGGGAGGAAGAAGAGGAAGGGGAAGACGCGGAGGAGGAGGATGGCGAGAAGTCGGGCAAGGGAAGGAGGCGCGCCGCGGGTAGAGCTGGGGGAGGTGCTGGGAAGCTGGTGAGGGTCAGGGGGGGAGTGAAGATCAAGGCGGGGCGAGCGGTGAAAATGGTAAAGGCGGCGAAGGCGGCAAAGGCGGAGAAGAAGTTTTTGGGGCGCGGGAAGATGAAGCTTGTGGATGTGTCTCCGGCGCACCTCCGCGCATTGAACGCCGTGCACGATCCCATGGCGCACGCGCACCCCTCCGCCGTCGATGCCTCCTGCTGCACGCGCTGCGCCAGCCGCGAGGCGTTCCGCGCAGTGCGCACGCGCAGCGCCGCGCTGCTGGCCGCCGTGCTGGCGCGCTCCGCGCGCGCGAAAGTGGCGGACCCGCACCTGGAGTGGTCCGCGGAGTGCCACGTGGACCCGCTGCGCGCGGCGCTGCTGTCGGGGGAGGTGCGGCTGGCGCGCATGCTTCTGCTGGACCGCGACAGGCAGGATGCGAACGGACTGCTGGGGCAATCGGGCGGGGGAGGCGCGGGGGAAGAAGGGGAGGGGGCGGTGGTGAGCGATGATGAGGATGAGGGGACGGGGGAGGAGGCGGGGGAGGAGGGTGAGGGGACGGAGGAGGCAGGGGAAGAGGGAGGTGCGACGGAGATGGAGGTGGAGGAGGAGGAGGAGGAAGTGGAGGAGGAGGAGGAGGAGGGTGCGCCACAGGTGGGCACGAGGCGCAAGAAGCAGGGCAGGGGAAGGAAGGGGGACAGGAAGGCAGAAGCGAAGGGGAAGAGCGGCAAGCGGACAAAGGAGCAGGCGGGCGAGAAGCACACAGCAGCAAAGGACAAGCCAAGCGCAGCAGAGAACCCGGAGGAGAGCCGCGTGGTAACCGCCCGCGCCCGTCTCCCCCTGAGCTCCCTGGCGAGCATCGGCACGGGCACCAAGTCGTTCTACATGCTGAGCTCCGCCACGCGCCAGCTCGAGGCCAGCCGCGGCGGCAAGGAGGGCAACAACGCGTTCCTCAGCGACCCACTCCCGCGCTCCGACTCCTTCCGCGACTACTTCTCCTTCGCCGCGCAGCGCTCGTCCGTCACCGCGCTGCAGATGATGGCCGCTACCCCCGACCCCTCCGCGTCTGGTTACCTCAAGCCGCGCGACCCCGCGCATCCCGTGCCCTCGCGCCTGGCGAGCTGCCTGGAGCTCGCGGGGAGCGGGTTGGTGTACGAAGCCGCGGAGGCGGGGAATCTCCCCGCCGCGGCGCACCTGCTGAAGCTGTGCCGCGGCGCGGACGGCAGCGGGGACTCTAGCTATGGGTTCAATGCGGTGCATGAGCTGGCCGTGGGGCCCCCGGATGGGAAGCTGGGCGCGAACGTGCGGGGAGGATCCGTGCTGAAGCAGGCGGGGTGGGGGAACCAGCAGGTGACGCCTGTCCACCTGGCGGCGCTACAGCCGGACGCGCGGATTCTGAAGCAGCTGGTGGCGCGCGCGGGGCCGCTGGCGCTGCATGTGACGGACGGCAAGGGGCGCAAGCCGATCCACTTTGCGGCGGTGGCGGCGGGGAGCGCGGCGTGCCTGGAGTGGTTGCTGAGCCAGGGGGTGAGCGCGGATGAGAAGGACCGCCAGGGCCACACGCCCCTGCGCCGCGCGCTCGCGTTTGGCCGCCCACACACCGCCCGCCTGCTGCTGCCCAAGGCGGCTGCTGCAGGAGGCACCAGCAGCGGTGACGCTCCTGCGGCGGACGAGGAGGAAGAAGATGCGGAGGAGGCAAGAGGGGGGAAAGCAAGGAGAGGCAAGGCGGGAGCTCCCGTGAGTGTGGCAGACCTAGTACTCAACACTCCCCTGGACAAGCGCACGCCGCAAACTCTCCTGCACGTGACGGCATGGGAGTGCCGCTACATGCCGCCCACCATCGCCGCAGACATCATAGAGCTCCTCATCCGCGGGGGGGGAGACGCTCTGGTACCCTCCAAAGACAAGAAGCTCACCACGCTGCACATTCTCTCTGCGCTGGGACTGGAGGAGGCGGTGGAGCGGGTTCTCTCGGTTGTTGCCGCGGGGAGTGATGGGAGAGGTGACGGGGAGGCGCGCGTGGTGAAGCTGCTGCTGGCGCCGGACAAGCTCGGGCGCAACGCGCTGGTCGTGGCGGCGCGCAACTGCCAGTTCGCCGTGCTGCGGCTTCTCCTGCGCCGCGGGGTGTCCCCGGATAGCGCGGACTCGAGCAGCAACACGGCGCTGCACTACGCGTGCGCGTACGGGTGCAAGGGCGCGCTAGAACTCCTACTAGCAGCAGGTGCGGATCCCGACCGGCTCAACATGTGGAAGCTGTCAGGGCTGTTCCTGGCGGTTCTCAAGGGCCACATGGGCATCGCCACCGCCCTCCTCTCCTCCCCTGCTGCTGCTCCGCCGCAGCAGCAGCCCGCAGCCCTTCCTGCTGCGCCGTTGGAGCTGCTGCTGGCGGGTTATGCTGACGAGCAAATGGATACAGAGGGAGGGGAGGGGGAGGGAGGGGAGGTAGGGGAGGGAGGGGAGGGGGGTGAGGAAGCGAGCCAAGTGGTTTCCTCCTCCTCCTCCCCCTCCGCTGCTGCTGCTGCTGCTGCGCCGAGCGGTGCAGTGAACGCGGTGGACAGCGATGGAAAGTCTCTCTTACACCATGCTGTGACCCTCAAGCAGGCGGACCCCACCCTGTGCCTCTCCCAGGTCACCTTCCTCGTCTCCCACGCCATCTCCGCCGCCACCAAGGACGCCCGCGACGGCCACACCGCTCTGCACCTCTTCGCATCGCTCCGCCCCGCCTCCTGCCGCCTCGACTCGCGGATCACCGCAGCGATTCTCTCCGCACGCGGCGCGGATGTTGATGTGGTGGACGGGGAGGGGCGCACGGCGCTACAGCTGGCGGCGGAGCAGCTCAACGTGCGCGTGCTGCGCGCGCTGCTCCGCAGCCCCACCTGCCGCGCGGCCCTCACCCACCGCGACCGCCACGGGGTGACCCCGCTGCTGGCCGCGCTGCGCTGCGAGGCGCCTCAGTTTGCTGAGAACGATCTTGCGAACGGGTACCGCGGGTGGTGGGGGAGGAAGCCAGTGGAGCAGGTGGATAAGGAGGTGCAGGGGACACTGGAAGGGTATTACCGCCGGTGGGGGGCGTTCTGTCGCCGGCAGCGGGCCGCTGTGGCCCTGCTGCTGCGCGCTGCTGTGGATCGGTCGGTGACGGAAGAAGCGGCTGCGGCGGCAGGGTTGGTGGAAAAGGGGGAGGCGGGGTTCGACTGGGGGTGGGTGAATGCGCAGACGAAGGAGGAAGGCGACTCGGCGTTGCACCTGGCGCTGCGTGCGTGCGACCCGGCATCCCTCCTGCGGCTGTTGCTGCAGCCGGACGTGCGGGCGCACGTCGCACTCGACCTGCGCAACAAGGCGGGCGTCACACCCCTCGCCGCCGCTGTGTCTCGCACCCTGCAGAACCCCCACAGCGCGGCGGAGCGGTATGCGAAGCAGGCGCGCAGGATGAGGGACCAGGAGTACCCCGAGCTTAAAGCCTCCAACCCCTTCCGCCGTGCCACGCAGGGGGAAGCCGCGCCTGCGGAGGCGGAGGCTGCGGGGGAGGCTGGTGCGGGGGAGGCTGGTGCGGGGGAGGGTGGAGCGGGGGAGGCGGAGGGGGAAGCTGGCGGTGGCGGTGCAGGCAGTGGCACGGGGCAGGTGCAGGCGGGGGACCCTCCGCAGGGTGCGCTTGCGCTTGCGGTTGCGGTTCCAGAGCCCCCCCAGAGCAAAGCGAGGCACTCCTCCTCCTCCCAGGGTGCAGCAGCACAAAGAGATTTCGTGGAGTGTGTGGAGGCGCTGCTGCGGGCGGGGGCAGACGTGCACGCGCACGCAATGGTTCGCGTGTGCAGAGCCGTGCGCTACATCGTGAGGAGCAGTGAGGTGAAGGAAGCACTGCGAGACAAGGCTCTGAGCAAGGCTGAGCAGGAGGAGGCCGTGGGGCGAGTGCAGGGACACGTGGTACTCCGCGTGGGAGGAGAGAGCGTGGAGGTGCAGAGATCGCTCGTCTCCCTCCTCATGGCTAATACCAGTGCTGCCGGCCTGCCTGCTGCTGTGCGCGACCGCTGCATTCGAAGGCTGCTGGCTGCGGGAGCGCCCGTGGACGCGGGGTGTGAGGAAGACGGGTCTGCTCTGCACGTGCTGGCCGTGGTGATGGGTGCTCGCGACCCCCTGCCGCTGCTGGAGCTGCTGGCTGCTGCTGGCGAGCAGAAGCACAAGGGCGGGCAGCAGCAGCAGGGCGGGGAGGAGGCGCAGCAGCAGCAGCAGCAGCAGCGGCGGCGGAGGCGGCCGTTGCTGGCAGAGCTGGCGTGCAAGGCGAACCAAGACGGAGACGTGGCGTTCCTGTCTATTATCGAGAGAGCGCTGCAGCTGAACCTCCTTCCTGACCAGGACGGAGCGGCACGTGGTGGTGATGGGGTCGTGGGGGGAGGGGTGGGAGAGGAGGGAAATGGCAAGGAAGCGGAGAGAGGAGTGGGAGAGGAGGAGGCAGGAGAAGGAGACGAAGAAGATGAAGATGGGGAGGGAGGGGGAAGTGATGGTGAAAAGAGCGGCGATTCCTCCTCCTCTCCTTCCTCTCCTTCCTCATCTTCCCCTTCCAGTGCTCCCTCCAAGTCTCCTTCCCCTTCTCCTGCCTCGTCATCTTCCTCCCAGGGTCCCTCCAAGAAAAATCCAGCCAAGCAGTATCAACTGACACGAGAGGCCTTCCTGCGCTTCCTCGCTCGCTTCCTGCAAGTGTGCCAGCAGGACGTGAGCGCAAGCAAGGCAGCCCCGCGCCTGCGCACCTGGGGGAACGTGGACCCGGCAGTCATCCCCATCATCTCCGCCAGAGCCCAGCCCAGCCTGGGCTTCACCGCTCTGCACCTCACTGCGCGCGCTGGGGGGGGTGCACTGTGGCTGCTGTCGTGGCTGCTGCAGCAGCAGGGGGCGGATCCGCTGCGCTGCACTGCGAAAGGCTCCACTGCCCTTGCGTGTCATCTCCGGCAGGGTGCTGGTGGTGGTGCTGGTGGTGCTGGTGGTGGTGCTGGTGCTGGTGGGCTGGTAGATGTGAAAGTGGTGCGCGCACTGCTGGCGGCACACGGGCCACAGCAGCAGGAGCAGGAGCAGCAGGACCAGCAGGACCAGCAGCAGCAGCAGCAGCAGCAGCAGCAGCAGCAGCAGCAGCAGCAGCAGCAGCAGCAGCAGCAGGTGCGCACGTGTGACGGCAGGAAGCGCACGCCGCTCATGTTTGCAGTGCAGGCGTCTGCACGGACGGCGGGCAGGGCGGGCATCACCAGCGAGGCGTTTGAGGTGGAGAAGGCTCTACTGGACGCCGGCGCTGACGTGGCAGCGCGGGACGAGGACGGCCGCAACGTGGTGCATCTCGCGTTTGTGCGGCTGGGGGCGCGCCACGTGGCGGCGGCGGGAGGCGGGTCCCATCGGGCTGCTGCGGCAGGGGAGGAGCCGATAGAGCTGCTCAGCATGCTCTGTGCTGCTGTCACTGCCGCCGTTGCTGCTGCCGCCACCGCTGCTGCTGCTGCTGCTGCTGCTGCTGGTGCCGGCGCTGCTGCACTCCCTGGTTCGGCGGCAGGGCTGGCAAGCGGAGGGGGAGGAGTGGCGGAGGTGATAGATGCAGCGGACCGGTTCGGCCGCACCCCGCTTATGTACGCGTGTGAGGCGGGCGCACAGATCTGCACCAACTTCCTCGTGCGGCGCGGGGCCGCACTCACACGCACCGACGAGGACGACAATGGTGTGTTTCAGCTGGCTCTGCTTGCGGTGCAGCTCCCTGTGTGTATCAACCTGCTGGACCACGCGGGGGTGGATATTCACCTCCCTGCCACCAACTATCGTAAGTTTCCCGGTAAGCTGGTGAAAAGGGTTGCACTGGTGGAGCGGCGGGAGAGGAGGATGGTTGGGGTGGGTGGTACGGGGGAAGTGAGGGATGGGTGGAGTGACGGGGAAGAGGAGGAGGCGGATGAGCAAGAGGAGGAGGGAAAGGCGGGGGGTGTGCGGATGGCGGCGGAGGTGTGGGAGGAGTGGGAGGAGGGTGGGAGCGGGGACGGGCAGGAGAGCAAGGAAGGGGGAGAGGGAGCAGGCAGGACCGGGGAGGAAGATGCACCCATGGTGGATGCCAAGCGTGAGGGAGAGGCGGCGGAGGAGGAGGGGGAGAAGAAGACCGGAGCAGGGGCAGGCTCGGAGCAGCAGCAGATAGAGCAAGCGCGCGTGCAGATAGCACGAGGCAAGGACGCGTACAAGACATCAACCTTCCGTGTGGTGCTAGACCAGGGGTGGAACGGGCTGGCCTATCTCATGCTGGACCGCGGAGTAGACCTCCTCACTGCCACCCACGACTGCCTCGCCAGCAGCCACTTCTCCCTGCTCCTCACCCTCCTGCGCCGCGCGCCCCCCGCTGCACTGCAGGCGCTGCAGCCGGTGTCTGGCAGGACAGTGTTCCACCAGTTGGCCCGCGTGCACCACCGGTCTTCCTTCTGCCAGAACTGGCTGCTCACCATTCTGCAAGTCATCGAGGCTGCGCTGTCGGGACCGGGAGTCACAGGACCAGCAGGGGAGAATCCGATCCGCGCGCTGCTGGGCACGAGGGACGTGCTTGGGCAGACCCCGCTGCACCTGGCGTGTGCGGGCGCCATCACGCCGCTCGTCCAGTGGCTGTTGCCGCGGGGAGATCCCGCTCTTGTCAACGCATGCGACGCTGTGGGCTCTGTTCCCCTGCACCGCGTGCTAGACTGTGCGGCGTTGCACAGGAAGGGAGGGGGTAATGGTGCTGGTGCTGGTGCTGGTGCTGGTGCTGGTGCTGGTGCTGGTGCTGGTGGTGGCGGCAACATGCTGCTACCGGAGGTGTACCGGCTGCTGTGCGCGGGGGCTGATCCCAACGTGGGGCGCCAGGCCAAGCTGCCTCTTGACCTGACCGCCCTTGCCAGTGACAGCAGCGGCGGCAGCAGCAGTGGTGTGGTGCAGCAGACGGTGGGGGCGGCGCTGCGAGCGGAGGTGCTCCAGGAGGCGCAGGCGCTGCGCAAGGTGTGCACTCTGCCGCCCATAATGACGGCCGTGCGGCGGCGGGATCACCGGCTGACGCAGCTGCTGCTGCGCTTCGGAGCCAACCCCAACCAGTGGGACGCCACCGGTGCAACCGCGCTCACGCATGCCGTGAGGAGCAATGATCTTCGCATACTTACCGTGCTCATGGGGGGGAAATGGACCCCCCCGGTGCTGTCTCGGGAGGAGGAGGCTGCCAGCTCAGCGCTGAGCAAGATGACGGTGCCACCTGGCATGGAGATCCGCCACGTAGGCGTGGATCTGAACCTGGCCCCGCCCCCCCTTGCGCGGTCGGCATACCACGCAGCAGTGGCTACCTTTGGCCCGCTTGAGCCGTCGTATGAGAACACTCACCTGCTGAAGGCGCTGCACCGGCTGGGGGTGGTGCAGGGGGGTGAGGGGACTGGGGATGGTGCGGATTCGGCGGCGAGACCCGTGGCGTTCCGGTGGGAAACGAGGGACGGTGCGGGCCACACAGTGGTGTATGAAGCGGGTGCTCAGCTGTCAGGGGTGATGCTAGACGCTATCAGGGAGCTCATGAAAGGAGGTGATGCAGCAGGCGATGCAGCAGGCGATGTGGCAGGGGGTGCGGCAGGGGGTGCGGCAGGGGGTGCGGCAGGGGGTGCAGCAGGGGATATAGCCGAAGCTCCGACAGGTGCCACAGGCACTGTGCCGATGATAACTGATGGCGCTGTGCTGCCGGGGATGTTTGAGGCAGAGATAGCAGCAGGCCGAGCGGACGCGCAGAAAGCGTTAGAGGCAGCCGACCGGTGGCTCACGGAGGGCAGTGTGGGTGTGCGTGAGGGGCGAGTGGTGGACGTGGCAGCAGATGCGAGAGTGATGCGCGCGGAGTGGGACGGCAAGATGGAGGCAGCAGCGCAGGCGTGTGGCGCGGAGGTGGACGAGCATGCAGGGGACCTGCGAGCCACGTGTGTCGTGCTGCGGGAAGAGCAGCCTGCTGCAGCCGACGCCGGCGGCGGTGGTGGAGGAGGAGGAGGAGGGGGAGGAGGAGGGGGAGGAGGGGGAGGAGATTACTCGGTGCTGATGACGCGCACTGATGTGGAGTACGGGCGGTACGGATTCCACAACTTCTACAAGATGCAGGTACTGCACAGCACCGCACAGGACCTCTACATACTGTTCAACCGCTGGGGCCGTGTGGGCGACGAGGGGGAGCATCAGCAGACGCCCATGGGGTCCCGTGAGGAAGCAGTGAAGGAGTTTGAGAAGATCTTTAAAGCTAAGTCGGGGAACGACTGGAAGAGCCGCGGGGAGTTCCAGTCAAAGGTGGGGAAATACACTCCCGTGCGGGCCCGGCCGAAAAGCAAGAAGGCAGGGAAAGGTGACGGCGCGGGAGAAGGGGAAGGGGAAGGCGAGGGGAGGAAGATTCCCAAGGGGCATGTGGATGAGGAGGTGGAACTTGTGCTGCCTTTGGCCCAGCTGATTGACATGCATGGTGGGTTAAGGAAGAGAGGAGGAGCAGGCGAGGGAGTGGAAGGTGAAAGCGCTGCTGCTGTTGCACCTGCTCTTGCCTCTCTTCCTGCTGCTGATACTGCAGTGCCTGGCATTGCGGCTCCTGCTGCCGCCGCTGCCGCCGCTGCTGCTACGGGCAATAACGTCGCCACGTATGCTGCCGGCGCTCCTCCTCCTCCTGCTGCTACCACCACCCTCGCTGAAACACCCCCTGCAGCAGCAGAGCCCAGCCGCCTCCCCAAGGCCCTCCAGAGCTTCATGCGGGTCATCTGTGACGTGTCAGCGCTGCGAGCGCAGGCGCAGCGCCTGGGCGCAGTGGACACGTACCTAGCATTCGGGGACGTGACAGATGAGGCGCTGGAGCGCGGGCGCGAGGTGCTGGAGCAAATGAGTGCTCTGGTTCCCAAGTATGAGGCCGCTGGGAAGAAGATTGATGGGCTGGTGGCGGAGCAGCAGCGGTTGATGTTTGAGGAGCACGGGGAGGATGGGGAGGAGGTGGGAGGTGAGGGGGAGGGAGGGGGAGGCGGGGAAGGGGACGAGGAGCATGGGGCAGTGGAGGATGGGGTTGAGGAGGGCTGTGAGGATGGCTCGGTGGATGGTGCAGGGAAGAAGCGAGCGAAGAGGCGCCGCGTGGAGGAGGGCGAGGATGGCAAGGGGCAGGGAGTGGGTGGCGAGAAGGAAGGGGGGGACGCGCAGATGGAGGTGGAGGGAGGCGAGGGAGGTGATGGGGAGGGAGGTGGGGCGGAGGGAGGTGGGGCGGAGGGGGGTGGGAATGAGACTGCCCTTGTGGCAGTGGTCAGCACGGAGGGCGGTGAGGCCGGCAGCAGCAGGAAGGTAACTCGGGAGCGCATCGCGGAGGAGATAAAGGCAGCGCAGGCGGAGCAGAGGGGCATCAGCGAGCAGCTAGTGCAGCGCAGCAACGAGTTCTACCAGCTCGTGCCATCCTCGCAGCACACGCGCTCCCGCATCCAATCCATCCGATCCCGCCACGACCTGCTCTCCCTCCAAGCCCTGCTCTCCAGCCTGGGAGAGCTCCAGCTAGCCCTCAAGATGCTCATCGGCGCGCGCCGCCAGCTGGCGGAGGCGGCGGCCGGGCGGCGCGCAGCCGTGCATCCTCTAGACTACTGCTACCTGGGGTTGGGGACGGATATGCGGCGCCTGGACCCGCAGAGCCAGCTGTGGCGCGTGCTGGCGCGGTATGTGTACCGGTCGGCGTCGGCGCGCAGGGAGGAGATTGAGGTGTATGATGTGTTTGCGGTGCGCAGGCAGGGCGAGAGGGAGCGGTTTGAAGCGCTGTCTGAGGACGTGCGTGCGCACCGCCAGCTGCTGTTCCACGGGTCGTCTGTGGCTAATTTCTGCGGGCTGCTGAGCGGCGGGCTGCGTGTCGCTCCTCCCGAGGCTGACGTGACGGGGTATGCCTTTGGCAAGGGGGTCTACTTTGCAGACCAGTTTATAAAGTCCCTGGGGTACTGCGATACGGCTGCTCAACACCACCACGGGCACCATGGCCACTGGAGGAGCGGCTATTATTCCGAGGAGGAGGAGGAGGAGGGAGAGGAGGAGGAGGACGGGGAGGAGGAAGAGGGGGTGGGAAGAGGGCAAGCTATGAAGCAGACGCGGTGCCTGCTGCTGTGCGAGGTGGCGCTGGGGCAATCACAGGCGGTGTCAGAGGCAACATATATGGAGGAGGCGTTGCCAGGGTCCCACTCCACGTTTGCCATCGGGAGAACCACCCCCGACCTCTCCCAATCCCTGTGGACCCCTGATGGTTGCTGCATCCCTGCAGGGCCCATTATCACCCAAAGGGAGCTGCAGGCAAGCAAGGCAGCGCAGCCCGAGGAGTATGCTCGTGTGTGCAGGTTTATTACTGCGCCAGAAAAGGGGTTTACCTCGTGTGTGGAGAGGAATGAGTATGTGGTGTACCGTGAGGCGCAGGTTCAGATGCGCTACCTGCTGTGTGTGGGGCCTCCAAGGAGTAGGAGAACGGGAAGGAAAGGGAAGTAGGGGGTGGGGGACCATGGGGTGCAGTGCTTGGAAGGCTTTAGTTTGTGTTCTGGCTGAAACCTTATTTATACCATATGTGCTTTGCTCGGATTTCCGCTACTTTGCTGCTGGATTGAATTCGAGGTCCCTAATGGTAAGATAGGATATTAACTTAGGGCTTAGGGTTGGTTGAATCTAGGAGGAGAAACATGGAGGGGGAGATTGGAATGGCCAAAGAGGAGGTTCACTACCTTCCTGGGGTTGCTGACCATGCCAAAGGCAGGTGATGTTGAAAATGGTGATGATTCTCGTGCATGTTTTGGTTATGTACCAGCGTAGTGACTCTGCACAGTATGTACTTCAGAATGATGCAAATATAAATTTGTGCTGTGAATAAATGCAAAATGAATCAAAAGCATTGCGTTGAAATATCCAACTTGTACCACTGACGAACAGGCTTGTATAGCGTCAAATTCCCGCGTGGCGTGGATTTGGTTTTGACGAGTCGAAAATGCATGTTCGAGATTTTGAATTTGTCAAATGGCGCTCCCAGACCCCACGTAACATGCGTGGTGTGATGTGAATGCGGCGTGGGCGGAGCGCGTAGGCGAATGGCTCGATAAGGGGCGGGGGTGGGGTGGATGTTCTCCACACTTCCACACTATCCATCTCGTTTCTCGTTACCTCTGCGCCCCCTCACTCCCCGCCTCTCACCTCGCCGTTCGCGCCTCTACCACATATAATATTGAAAAACTTCATCTGCTTCGCCGGGCCGAACCCTCAGATTGCCGTCACGTCAAAGCTGCAAATTCAAGCTCCCAACTCGTCGTCATCATGAAGCGCGGTGACCATTGTCGTCTGCTGTCTCTCCCGGACGAGCTTCTCGAGTCCATCCTCAGCACCGTCACCCACCCATCCGACCGTTGCAACGTCGCTCTCGTCTGCTCTCGCCTCCGCCGCATCTCGCGCCGCACGCCGCACTCGCTCCTACTCAAGTTCATGACTTATCAACGCTGGCGCTTCAAAGTCCGGGATTGGTTGGGCGAGTTCGACATTAAGTCGAGGGCATTTCCCCGCATTACCGGTCTCACCGTCCACCTGTCGTCCTGCCTGCGAGACTACCTACTGGCGGGTATTGGCGCCACGTGCGGGCAGCTGAAAGAGTTAAAGCTGTTGACGGTGGATTGGGCGAGTTTTGATGCCACTGCTAGTGGGTGGCGGTCGCTTGCTCGCCAATGCCCGTGAGTGGCCTGCACTGGGGACCTGCTAACGTTCTATCTCTCTCTCGTCCCGCTCCCCTTTCGGGTGAAATAAGACGAGTTTTCAGGTGCCTCAAAACTCATCCCGGTCCCCTTCAGTCGTTTCCTCCGCCTCGTTACAGTCACTTCAGCAAATCCCTTATCACTACCAGCACTCTTTCATTGCACGTCTCGTCTCATCAACTCAACGCCCCCCGCCCCGGTCTCTCCCTTGTCCCCGCCATCTTGAGATGGTCCCTCATTACAGCCATCTGACCCATCTCGAGCTCAACTCCCGGTTCGCCCGCGATTCATCGTATCAGCGCTATGAAGACAGGCCCGCGCTGCCGCCTCTCCGCGCCTTCCGCTCGCTCCGCGCCGTCACCCTCGGCGTCCACCCAAAGGAAATCTCCCCCCTCCTCCGTTGCTCCGCGCTCACCTCTCTCTCGCTCTGGCAGCCCACCGGCGGCAATCTTGCCTGCCTCGCATCCCCCTCCTCCTCCTTCCGCTCGTTTCTCCAATCCCTCACCATTCAATCTGCCAACCTGACCAACTACCTCCCCCGCATCTCCTCCTTCACCTCCCTCTCCTCGCTCTCCCTCCACTCCTGCATGTTCAACCCCGGCGAGCTTCTCTCCCTCTCGCGCTCCCTCCACTCCCTTACCCACCTCACAATTGACGATTGCCCGCTGGCCTGCTGCCGTGCTGTGGCAGCAATGGTTCGAGCCAACCCCTCCCTCTCCAGCCTCTCTCTCTCCGGCACCTCCTACCGTCTCTTCAGTTCCAAGCCCCTCTCAGCCGTGCTTCGTTTGTCGTCCCGTAAGCTGCAGACGCTCACGCTTTCGGGTCTGCCGTCGTTCCGCCCGGGTATGCTTGCGGGGTGCAGCAGCCTTGAGTCGCTCACTCTCGAACGAGCAGAGGGGTCGTGGGAAGAGCTGCTGGGCATGCTCTTGCGGGTAGTCGAGGCGAAAGGAGGTGCGGAAAGAGGTTCGGATACGTCCGTGGGAGCAAGAGCGGGAGTGGGTGCGGATACGCCTGCAGCTGCTCCTGCAGCAGTGCCGGAAGGGAGGATCAAGAAAACCCGGCGCACTTACGTTGATATCCGCGCAGCAGCAGAATCGGCGCGCGCGGACGCGGCCGCAACATGGGGGGATTTGCGGCGGCTGCTCAAGGCGGCCGGGGACCTCACGTGCTCCGCGCACTCCGAAGCAGAGTCCGCGCGCCGACATCACTTGCTGCGGGGGGTAAAACCCGCGATTCAAATGGTCATGAGCGCGCTTTCCGCCTGCCAGGCGGGGTCTACCGCCGCGTGGGACGCGGACGTTGCGAGGGAGAGGGCGCGCGCTGTGAAACGCGTCGCTGCTGCTGCTGCTGCTGCCGGCGCAACGGGAGCTTTCTCGGCGGAGATTTACAGCGAGGAGGAAGAGGGAGAGGGAGGGGGAGAGGGCGAGGGAGAGGGAGAGGAAGAGGCTGAGGGAGACGCGGGGTTGGGAGGAGACGTGGTGACTTTTTCCGATGAGGAGTATCGCGCGGGGGCAACCCCTGATGCGATTCACAGCTTCATGTGGGAGCAGGATCCTAGTGACGGCATGCCCGAGGCCTCGCGTGAAGAGCTGCTGGCGATGCTGAATGCTCTGTCGGGGCAGCTGCGCCCGCGTCTCACGGCCATGCATGAGAACGTGGAGTTGGTGCTTGCGGGGGAGAATGTCGAGGGCGGGGCAGCTGCGGCACTAGCAGCCGCGGCTGGGGCCGCAGCAGCGGCGGGTGGGGCGGCAGCAGCAACAGCAGGTGGGGCGGCAGCAACAGCAGGTGGGGCGGCAGCAGCAGCGGGTGGGGCGGCAGCAGCAGCAGGTGGGGCGGCAGCAGCAGCGGGTGGGGCGGCAGCAGCAGCGGGTGGGGCGGCAGCAGCAGTGGGTGGGGCGGCAGCAGCAGCGAGCGAAGCGGCAGGGGGTTCTCCAGGAGTGGAGCTACAGGTGGAAGCTTCACAGGGGCAGGGCGTGCAGGAGAGAGTGCAGAGAGAGGGAGTGCAAGAGGAGGGTGCACAACGGGAGAATCCTCTCGAACAGAGAAGTCAAGAAGGTTCAGGCAGCAGCAGGCTTGCAGCAGCTAAGGCGCATCTAGAATCCGAAAGGGCCACGCCAGTGGAAGTGGTCTGCCCTTGCCTGGCCTCTCTGGTCCTCGAAGACATTCAGTTTATCCCTCTCTCTGAGCTTGCTTCTGAAAATCTTCCCTCTACATGCCCCCTACTGGTTCCAGTTTTCCGTACTCCTCCCTGCTCCACGTTTCGCCCCTCAACCTCCGCATCCTTCCCTGGTTCCACCATAAGGGCTTCTCCCGGTCAGCAGCAGTCGTTTGAGAGCATCGCCCTGGCGGCTGTGTTTGGCGGGCTGAGGCGGTTGGCGGTGGTGCAGTGCGGTGGGGTGGGGGAGGAGCAGCTGAGGGCAGTGCTGCGTGCATGCCGGGTGTTGGTGGAGCTGAGAGTAGAGCACTGTGATGCCATGTCCGATGCTGTCCTCCTCATGCCCAATCGACACTCTCACCCACGCCACTCTCATTGCTTGCAGCGGGATCACGTCTGCTGGGGTGATCGGGTTGCTCGCAAGCTTCCCAAGGCTGAGGCAGTTGAAGGTGGAAGCGGATAAGGTTCCTGAAAGGGCTCGACGGAAGTTGCTGCGCGCTGGTGTGGTCGTCAGGGGGGTGTGAGTGAAGTTGATGCTGACATGGCAGCAAGTGTGGCTCTTTATGCGAAGGTGTATAGAAAGGTAGCAAGATGTAAGGGGCTTTAGGTCCTCCAGGGGGTCCCAGTTAAGAGCGCAGATATCTCCAGGCGTTGCACCAAAGATTCTCAGACATATGCAGTTGAGGCAGAAAATGGTGACGATTCTCGAGGATGTTTTGTTTACGTACCAGCGTAGAGACTATGGAGCAGTATGTACTTCAGAATGATGCAATTATGGATTTGTGCTTTGAATAAATGTAATTGAATCAAAAGCATTGCGTTGAAATATCCTATTTGTACCACTGACGTCGAATTCCCGCGTGGAGTGGATTTGGTTTCGAGAAGTCGAAGTTGCATTGCATGTTCGAGATTTTGAATTCGCAATCAAAAGGCGCTCCCAGCCCCCACGTAACACGTGTGGTGTGATGTGAATGCGGCGTGGGCGGAGCGCGTGCAACACAAGAACATGATTGGTCTTGGGGAGACGATAATATGCCTAGACGAATGGCCAAGGCGATATGGGGTGGGGGGATGGGATGGACGTTCTCTCCACACTTCCACACAGCCCAAGCTGCTTACGAGTTCCCTTTCCATCTCGTTTACTCGTTAGACACCTAACCTCAGACGCGGTACCTCTCATGCAATCGCACGCAGACACCTAACTTCACTCTCCGCCTCTCACCTCATTAAACGCCGTTCGCGCCTCTACCGCATATTATCTTGAAAAACTTCATTAGGTTCGCCGGGCCAAACCTTCAGATTTCCGTCATGTCACAGCTGCAAATTCAAGCTCGCGGCTCGTCGTCGTCATGAAGCGCGGTGACAGTTGCCGTCTGCTGTCTCTCCCGGACGAGCTTCTCGAGTGCATTCTCAGCACCGTCACCCACCCATCCGACCGTTGCAACGTCGCTCTCGTCTGTTCGCGCCTCTGCCGCATTTCGCGCCGCACGCCGCACTCGCTCCTCGTCAAGTTCATGACTTCTCAATGGTGGCGCTCCAAAGTCCGTGACTGGCTAGGCGATTTTGATAAGCAATCGAGAGCATTTCCCAACGTTACCAGTCTGACAGTGCGCGTCACGGAAACCCTAAGAGACTATCTACTGGCTGGTATTGGCACCACGTGCGGGCAGCTGAAAGAGTTAAAGCTGTTGGCGGTGGACTGTGGACGTTTCGAAGCCACTGCTAGTGGCTGGCGGTCGCTTGCTCGGCAATGCCCGTGAGTGGCCAGCCTTGGGAATGTTTGGGGATGTGCGGACGGTACATCTACCTTCCCACTCCTCCCTTCCGCCCCCCCTCTCTCCCCTTCTTCCCAGTTTATTTCTGTTGTTTCACGCCACCTGTTTTTGCATGCAAACGGAGGTACAAAGAAAGTGAGTACAGAAAGCGTTCTGTATTTGCCAACAGCGCAGCATTCTTATGACGGAGGTCCTCCCCATGACTTCGACCGCTCTCGCTATCTCGTCCCGCTTCCCCTTCTTCGTGAATGAGACGAGTTTTTAATCGCCTCAAAACTCGTCCCACTCCCTTTCCCTCGTTTCTTCCGCCTCGTTACAGAACCCTTCTCATCAACACCACTCGTCATTTGCACGTCTCATCATCTCCCCCCTCCCCGGTCTCTCCCTCCCCGGTCTCTCCCTCCCCGGTCCCTCCTCCCTCCCTGCCTCCACCTCATATGCAGCCATATCACTCATCTCGAGCTCAGCTCCCGTTTCACCTACGACCCGTCCCGCCGCCGCTACGAACACAGAGTCGCCCTTCCGCCTCTCCGCGCCTTCCGCTCGCTCCGCGCCGTCACCCTCGCCTTCCACTGCAAGGAGATCCTCCCCCTCCTCCGCTGCTCCGCGCTCACCTCGCTCTCCCTCTGGCAGCCCATCGGCGGCGACCTAGCTTGCCTCGCCTCTCCCGCCTCCACCTTCCGCTCGTCTCTCCAATCGCTCACCGTTCAATCTGCCAACTTAATGAACTACTTTTCCCGAGTCGCCTCCTTCACCTCGCTCTCTTCCCTCTCCCTCCAATCCTGCATGTTCAATCCCTGCGAATTGCACTCCGTCTCGCGCTCCCTCCACTCACTCACGCACCTCACCATCGACGATTGCCCCTTGGTCTGCTGCCGTGCTGTGGCAGCGATAGTTCGAGCAAACCCTTCCCTCTCCACACTCGCTCTCTCCGGCACCACCTACCGTCTCTTCAGTTCCAAGCCCCTCTCAGCCGTGCTTCGCCTGTCGTCCCGCAAGCTTCAGACGCTCGCGCTTTCGGGTCTGCCCTCATTCCGCCCGGGTATGCTTGCCCGCTGCTACAGCCTCGACTCGCTGACGCTCGAACGAGCAGAGGGGTCGCTGGAAGGGCTGCTGGGCATGCTCGTGCGGGTGGAAGAGGCCAGGGGGGACATGAAAGGAGCTGCGGATACGCCTGCGCATGCGGGTGCGTGTTCGGGTGTGGGTGCGAGTGCGGGTGCGGGTGCGGGTGCGGGTGCGGGTGCAGATGCGCTTGCGGGAGCGCTTGCGCCTGCAGCGGCTCCTGCAGCGGCGGCGGAGGGGCGGCGGCGCACCTACGTGGATATCCGCGCCGCAGCAGCATCGGCGCGCTCCGACGCGGCCTCATCATGGAGGGACTTGAACCGGATGCTCAAGACGGCGGGGGAGCTAGTGGGTTCCGCGCAGTCTGGAGTGGAAGTCGCGCGGCGAGACCAGTGGCAGCGCGAAGCAAAGCACGCGATTAAGATGGTCGTGAGCGCGATTTACGCCTGCCAATCCGCGTCCGCGGGCGCCGGGGACGCGAGCGCAGCGAGGGAGACGGCGCGCGTTGTGGCGCGACTCTCCGCCGCCGCCGCCGCCGCCGCCGCGACAGGAGTTTTTACAGCGGAGTTTCGCGGAGCGGAGGAGGAAGAGGGCGAAGAAGAAGATGCGGAGCTGGGAGGAAGCGTGGTGGTTTTTACCGACGACGAGCATCGCGCAGGGGCGTCTCCTGACTCGATCGGTGGCTACATGTGGGAGGTGGAAACCAGTGATGGCTTCCCTGAGGCGTCCCATGCGCAGCTGATGGCAATGCTGAGGCCTCGGGCAGAGCAGCTGCGGCCGCATCTCACGGCCATGCATGAGAGCGTTGAGGCGCTGCTTGCGGGGGAGAATGTCGAGGGCGGGATTATTGGGGCGCTAGAAGCGGCGGGTGGGGCGCCAGCAGGAGCGGCACTTGGGGCGGCAGCAGCAGCGGGTGGGGCGGCAGCAGGAGCGGCACTTGGGGCGGCAGCAGCAGCGGGTGGGGCGGCAGCAGCAGCGAGCGAAGCGCTAGGAGGTATCCCAGGAGTGGAGCAACAGGTGGAAGCAGCACAGGGGCAGTGCGTGCAGGAGGAATCTCAAGGGGAGGGAAGGCAGCAAGCGTCTGGCAGCAGCAGGCGGGCAGCAGCTAAGACGCATCAAGAATCTGAGAGGGCAACGCCTGTGGATGTGATCTGCCCTTGCCTGGCCTCCCTGGTTCTGAAAGACATCCGGTTTATCTCTCATTCTGAGCCTGCTTCTGGGGATTGCCCCTCTTCATCCCCCCCCCTGCTTCTAGTTTCCCGTACTCCTCCCTCCTCCACATTCCGCCCCTCAACCTCCCTATCCTCCCTTCATTCCTCCCCAAGTGCGTCTCCCGGTCAGCAGCAGCAATCATTTGAGAGCATCGCCTTGGCGGCTGTGTTTGGCGGGCTGAGGCGGTTGGCAGTGGTGCAGTGCGGTGGGGTGGGGGAGGAGCAGCTGAGGGCAGTGCTGCGTGCTTGCCGGGTGTTGGTGGAGCTGAGAGTAGAGCACTGTGATGCCATGTCCGATGCTGTGCTGCTCTCATGCCCAATCGACACTCTCACTCACGCCACTCTCATTGCTTGCAACGGGATCACTGCTGCTGGGGTGATCGGGTTGCTTGGAAGCTTCCCAAGGCTGAGGCAGTTGAAGGTGGAAGCGGATAAGGTCCTTGAACGGGCTAGGCGGAAGTTGCTTCGTGCTGGTGTGGTCGTCAGGGGGGTGTGAGAGAAACAAGCTCGTGACACCAAGTTTGGATGAGACGTTTTGATGTTTCATTCCATAGCATGTGTATGAATTTTGTAACAATGTTATTATTCATGAAGTAATGCCGAAATGAAATAATGAAATAGCTGCGTTTGCATTGAAGTCCCCCTTTTGTTACAAACGGGGACCGCTAATCCCACAGACGAGGAACCTTGTACAGTGTCACATTTTTCGACAAGATTGCATGTTCAAGAATTCGAATTCCGAAATTGACATGCACATCAAACCCCACGTGGCGCGTGAATGCTGCGTCGGTGGAGTGCGCGCAAGGCGAGGGACAGAACAACACCAAGGGAATGGCAGTCAAATTGAAAAGAGAAGGGTAGAAAGGTGGGGGTGGGGAGCGGCAGAAAGAAACGGTGACCCAAGCGCACCCCAGCCATCCCTCTCTACCATTTCTCCACAACTCCACATTACAAGCTGCTTCTTATGACTTCCTTCCGTCGTTTGCTATTCCTAGATTTATGTGTGCTTGCCTTGTAACTAGCCGTCTTGCAGTCGCACAGTTTCGTGGTTTCCAGCTCTCGCCTCGTCAGCGGCCGTTTCGCTTCTACCACATGTTTGGAATCTGCGAAGTTCCATCTGGTTCGCCAGGCTGAACCCTTATATTACCATCACGTCACAGTTACCAATCCAAGCTCGCGGCTCGACGTCATCATGAAGCGCGGTGACCGTTGCCGTCTGCTGTCTCTCCCGGACGAGATTCTCGAGTCCATCCTCAGCACCGTCACGCACCCATCCGACCGTTACAACGTCGCGCTCGTCTGCTCTCGCCTCCGCCGCATCTCGCGCCGCACGCCGCACTCGCTCCTCGTCGAGTTCATGCCTTATCAACGCTGGCATTCCAGATTCCGGGATTGGTTGGCCGATTTCGACAATCAATCGAGGGCATTTCCTCGCATTACCAGCCTGACCGTACACCTGTCGAACACCCTGCGAGACTACCTACTGGCGGGTATTGGCGCTACGTGCGGGCAGCTGGAAGAGTTAAGACTGTTGGCGGTGGATTTGGGAAGTTTCGAAGCCACTGCTAGTGGGAGGCGGTCGCTTGCTCGGCAATGCCCGTGAGTGGCCGGCCTTGGGAATGTTTTGAGTCGTCTCAATTCCCATGAGTGGTCTGGGTAGGGGATGTGCGGATTGTACCCATCTATCTCTCTCTGCCAACCCAAGCATTAAAAATCGCCCTGTATCTGCATGCAACGGAGGTACAATGGAAGAGAGAATAAAACGTCCTGTATTTGCCAACGATGCAGGATTGTCATGATTTTCTCCCTAAAAAACTTGGACTGCTCTCGCTCTCTCGTCCCCTGCCCCTTCTGTCGCCTTTTCCGCCTCGTTACAATCACTTCAGCGAACAGCAGCAGCACCCTTTCTTCGCACGTCCCATCAACTCAACCCCTCCCTCCCCGGTCTCTCCCCTGTCCACCTCCTTCCAGCCAGCTGACTCATCTGGAGCTCAGTTCCCGGTTCGCCCGCGATACATCCCGTCACCGCTACGAGGATAGAGACGCCTTGCCGCCTCTCCACGTCTTCCCTTCCCTTCGCGCCGTCACCCTCGGCTTTCACTGCAAGGAAGTTCTCCCGCTGCTCCGCTGCTCCTCGCTTACTTCTCTCTCCCTCAAGCAGCCTATAGGCGGCGACGTTGCTTGCCTCGCCTCCTCCTCCTCCTCCTTCCGCTCGTCTCTCCAATCTCTCACCGTCGAGTCGGCCTACCTGACCAACAACCTTCCTCGCGCCTCCTCATTCACCTCCCTCTCCTCGCTCTCCCTCCACTCCTGCACGTTCAATCCTGGCGAGCTTCACTCCCTCTCGCGCTCCCTCCATTCCCTCACGCACCTCACCGTTGACGATTGCCCTCTGGTGTGTGGCCGTGCTGTGGCAGCGATAGTTCGAGCAAACCCTTCCCTCTCCACACTCGCTCTCTCCGGCACCACCCACCGTCTTTTCAGTCCCAGTTCCCTCTCAACCGTGCTTCGTCTGTCCTCCCGTAAGCTGCAAACTCTCACGCTTTCGGGTCTGCCGTCTTTCCGCCCCGGTATCCTTGCGGGGTGCAGCAGCCTTGAGTCGCTCACTCTCGAACGAGCAGAGGGGCCGCTGGAAGGGCTGCTGGGTATGCTCGTGAGGGCGGAGGAGGCGGGGGGAGAGGCAAAACGAAATGCAAATACCCCTTCAGGCGCGGGTGCGAGTGTGGGTGCGAGTGCGAGTGTGGGTGTGGGTGTGGGTGTGGGTGTGGGTGCGGGTGCGAGTGTGGGTGCGGGTGCGAGTGCGGGTGTGGGTGCGAGTGTGGGTGTGGGTGTGGGTGCGGGTGTGGGAACGGGTGCAGGTGGTGGTGTGGGTGCGGGTGCAGGTGCCACTCCAGCTGCTGCTCCTGCAGCGGCGGCGGAGGGGAGGATTAGAGGGAACCGGCGCACCTACTTCGATATCCGCGCAGCAGCAGCATCGGTGCGCGCCGACGCGGCCGCAGCATGGAGGGACATGAACCGGCTAGTCGATGCGGCGAGGGAGCTAGTGCGCGATGTTCGACACAAAGGTCGTCATTAAATCCTTAATTGACGCTGTTTCCGCCTGCCAGTCCGCGTCCGCGGGGGCCCGGGACGCGAAAGCTGCGAGAGATAGGGCACGCGCTGTGGCACGCCTCTCTGCTGCTGCTGCTGTTGCCGGTGCGGCAGGGGTTTTCACAGCGGGGTTTCACGGAGAGGAGGAGGAGGAGGAGGAGGAGGAGGAGGAGGAGGAGGAGGAGGAGGAGGAGGAGGAGGAGGAGGAGGAGGAGGAGGAGGAGGAGGAAGAGGGAGATGCAGACCTAGGAGCGTGGAGCTCGGTTGTGTTTACAGACGAGGAGTATAGTGCTGGGGCAACCGCCGATGTGATTGAAAAATGGATGTGGGAGGTGTCTCGTGATGGCATGCCCGAGGCGTCTCATGATGAGCTTTTCGCGATGCTAGATGCGTTGTCACAGCAGCTGCGCCTGCACCTGTTGGCCATGCATGAGAGCGTTGACGCGCTGCTTGCGGGGGAGGATGTTGAGGGCGGGATAGTTGGGGCGGTAGCAGCAGCAGCTGGGGCGGCAGCAGCGGGTGGGGCGGCGGTAGCAGCGGGTGGGGCAGCAGCAGGTGGGGCTCCAACAGCGGGTGGGGCGCCAGCAGCAGCAGCGGGTGAAGTGGCAGGGGGTACCCCTGGAGTGGAGCTACAGGTGGAAGTTGCACAAGGTCAGGGCGTGCACGAGAGAGTGGAGAGTGAGGGAGTGCAAGAGAGAGTGGAGAGTGAGGGAGTGCAAGAGAGAGTGCAGGTGGAAGAGGAGGGAGGCCAATGGGAGGGGTCTCTAGGGGAGGAAAGGCGAGAAAGGGCACAGAGCAGCAGGCTGGCATCAGCTAAGGCGTGCGAAGCACCTGAAACGGCAACGCCAGTGGAAGTGATCTGCCCTTGCCTGGCTTCTCTGGTTCTGAAAAGCATCGAATTCATCCCTCATTCCGAGCCTACTTCTGAAAACCTTCCCTCTGCGTCCCCCCTCCTGGTTTCAGTTTCCCGTTCTCCTCCTTGCTCCACATTTCGCCCCTCAACCTTCCTCTCACCTGATTCCTCCCTCAGCGCTCCTCCCGGTCAGCAGCAGCACCCGTTTGAGAGAATCGCCCTGGCGGCTGTGTTTGGCAGGCTGAGGCGGTTGGCAGTGGTGCAGTGCGGTGGGGTGGGGGAGGAGCAGCTGAGGGCAGTGCTGTGGCATGCCGGGTGTTGGTGGAGCTGAGAGTAGAGCACTGTGATGCCATGTCCGATGCCCTGCTGCAAGCATGCCCAATCCACACGCTCACCCACGAGGGATCACTGCTGCTGGGGTGATCGGGTTGCTTGCAAGCTTCCCAAGGCTGATGCAGTTGAAGGTGGAAAGGGATAAGGTTCCGGAACGGGCTAGGCGGAAGTTGCTGCGTGCTGGTGTGGTCATAAGGGGGGTGTGAGTGGGAGTGAAGCTCATGACACCAAGTGTGGCTCCTTGTGGGAAGGTGGACAGTGATGCAGCAAGATGAGACGTTTTCGTCAAGGCTTTTTTCTTGTTTCGTTTTTCTCTCAGCAGGGCTTAGTTTCGCCAGAGAATGGTGGTAAGTGTAAGCATCAAGTTTGGTTGGACGTCCATAAGGGTGTGATGACACCTCACGCCCACCGGATGTTTTGTCCATACGTTCTATCTACCGTATCTACCGTATCTCAGGACATGTTTGAATACACTGCAGGGTGGCTAATCGTGTTATGGAATGAGAGAGAGAGGCGTCCGGAAATAGGACACAGTGTACTGTATGGCAACTTTTCAAGTTCAAGGTTCTTGAACTTGAATTCGCCTCCCCTCCCGTCGCCTTTTAGGTGGCTCTCCCTTCCCGCGTCCGTCTCCCACGCTTACTCTGAGTGTCTCCCACGCTCTCCCATCATGTCGCTGGCCTTCACATGACCATCGCTTGCCCATTCCGTCGCTTTCCCAACACCTTTCAAGTTCAGTATTCTTGAAGCCTTACCATTCTAGACTCGGGCTTTAAAGTTCTGGATTACTGCATTCAGCTTATGAAGCAACCCTGGTCTCTACATTCAATACCTGCAAGATCGGTCAGAGAAATACAGTACAGCTTTTGAGGCGCTTCGAAAGTCATCCAGACAGCATTTCATTTAAGTACGGATGGAGGAGATTCTTCCATTCCCATCGTGCTTGCTAACTACCTTACCTTACTACAACGATGCGCCTTGTACAGTGGGCCACTCCCATGCCAACGTCAAACTCGCACCCCCTAACAACGACACCAGCACGCAGCAGCTTCCTCCGAGCCCGTTCAGATACCTTTTCCCCCTCCACCTTTAAGTACCTCAACCCCGGAAAACTCCCAAGCAGCCCGGCAACACCGGCAGCTGTAACCTGTGTGCATGAGACCAGCGTGGCGTGAGTGAGAGAGTGGAGAGAGCATGAGAGCAGCACTTTATCGGACATGGCGTCACAGTGCTCTACTCTCAGCTCCACCAACACCCGGCATGCACGCAGCACTGCCCTCAGCTGCTCCTCCACCACCCCACCGCACTGCACCACTGCCAACCGCCTCAGCCCGCCAAACACAGCCGCCAAGGCAATGCTCTCAAACGACTGCTGCTGCTGAGCCAGAGGAGCACTGAGGGTGGAACCGGGGAAGGAAAGGGAGATTGCGGGGCGAAGCGTAGAGCAGGGAGGAGCACGGGAAACTGGAACCAGGGGGGGGGAGGTAGAGGAGAGATACCCATGCAGCCAAGCAGACTCAAAGGGAGGAGAGAACTGGATGTCTTTCAGGACCAGGGAAGCCAGGCAAGGGCAGACCACTTCCACTGGCGTGGCCCTTTTCACTCTTGACACGCCATAGCTGCTGCGGAGCTGCTGCATGACTCTCCCCCTCCTCTTCCCTCCCCTTCAGCTTCCTCCCTTTGTGCTCCCTCCTCTTGCACCCCTGGCACCACTTCTGCTGGCGCCTCAACTGCTGCTGCTGCTGCTGCTGCTGCTGCAACTGCTGCTGGCGCTTCTGCTTGGTCCGCAACATTCTCCCACCGGAGCAGCGAATCAGCGCTCTCATGCATAACCGAGAGTCGCAGGCGCAGCTGCTCCGAAAGACTCTCCAGCACCACAAGCAGCTCCTCACGAGACATCACAGTCACGGCCTCACCGTCACCTGCCTCTGACTCCTCCGTACCGTTGTGAACCGCATTTGGGGTTGCCCCAGCACTGTACTCCTCGTAGCCACTAAACAGCATAGTGTCTTCTCCAATCTCCCCATTCTCCTCTTCCTCTTCTCCAGTAAGCTGCGCAGAGAGTATCCCCGAGGTGCCGGCAGCAGCAGCAGCGGTGGAGATTCGTGCGACAGCGCGTGCCTTCTCTCTCGCAGCGTTTGCATCCCACACCCCAGCAGAGGCATACCTGCAGGCAGCAATGGCACTCAGGACCGCACTGATAGCGGACTTCACGCATTGCACAGACTCGTGTTGGTGTGCGGAATGGGTTTGGAACTGCCCCGCCCGCTTGAGCAGCCGGCGCGCGTCGCTCCATGCTGAGGCCGCGTCGGCATGCGCCGCTGCTGCTGCTGTGCGGATATCAACGTAGGTTCTCTGTCTTCCACTGATCCCCCCCTCCGCCGCCGCTGTAGGAGCACCCGCACCCGCATCCGCACCCGCACCCGAAGGCGTATCCGCACCTCGTTCCGCCCCTCCCTCCGCCTCCTCCACCCGCACGAGCATGCCCAGCAGCCCTTCCAGCGACCCCTCTGCTCGTTCGAGAGTGAGCGACTCAAGGCTGCTGCACCCCGCAAGCATACCCGGGCGGAACGACGGCAGACCCGAAAGCGTGAGCGTCTGAAGCTTACGGGACGACAGACGAAGCACGGTGGATAGGGGCCTGGGAATGAAGAGACGGTAGGTGGTGCCGGAGAGAGAGAGCGTGGAGAGGGAGGGGTTGGCTCGAACCATTGTTGCCACTGCACGACAGCAGGCCAGCGGGCAACCGTGAATGGTGAAGTGCGTGAGGGAGTGGAGGGAGCGCGAGAGGGAATGAAGCTCGCATGGGTCGAACATGCACGAGTGGAGGGAGAGGGAGGAAAGGAGAGTGAAGGAGGAGACGCAAGGAAGGTGGTTTGTTAAGTCGGCAGATCGAATGGTGAGGGATTGGAGAGACGAGCGGAAGGCGGAGGAGGAGGAGGCGAGGCAGGCAAGGTCGCTGCCTGTGGGCTGCCAGAGGGAGAGAGAGGTGAGCGCGGAGCAGCGGAGGAGGGGGGAGATTTCCTTTGGGCGGAAGCTGAGGGTGAGGGCGCGGAGGGAAGGGAAGGCGTGGAGAGGCGGCAGGGCGGGGGTATCTTCGTAGAGGTAGCGGGATGAATCGCGGGAGAAACGCAAGCTGACTCCAGATGAGCCAGCTGGCTGGAAGAGAAGAAGGTGGTCCGGGCGGGCGAATGGGGAGAGACAGAGGAGGGTGGTGGGGGGGAGGGTAGGGAGAGGGGGGAGAGGAAGGATGGGGAAGAGGGGGGTTGGGTTGATGAGAGGGGGCATGGCAAGGGCGAGTGCTGGTGGCAGAGAGTGGTTCGTTGGAGTGACTGTAACGAGGCGGTGCAAACAGAAAGGGAGTGGGACGAGAGAGCGAGAACGGTTGTAGTCCTAGAGGGGACATCATATCGATCGTACATCGTTCAATTATATTTTTCTTCCTTTGAAACTCCATTACACACAGAAACTGAATTACCCCCTATTTCATTTTTTTTTCCTATTTCCTTTTTTTCCCTTTTTTGAGATAGAGAAACCGTTCCCACATCCCTAACGCTCACTCCCAGGAAGGGAAGAGACAGATGTACCGCCCGCCCATCCCCAAGCATTCCCAAGGCAGGCAACTCACGGGCATTGCCGAGCAAGCGACCGCCACCCACCAGCAGTGGCTTCGAACCTCCCCCAGTCCACCGCCAACAGCTTTAACTCTTTCAGCTGCCCGCACGTGGCGCCAATACCCGCCAGTAGGTAGTCTCGCAGGGTATCCGTGACGCGCACTGTCAGACTGGTAATGTTGGGAAACGCCCTTGTTTTATCGTCGAAGTCGCCCAACCAATCCCGGACGCTAGAATGCCGGTGGTGATGAGGGATGAATTCGACGAGGAGCGAGTGGGGCGTGCGGCGCGAGATGCGGCGGAGGCGAGAGCAGACGAGAGCGACGTTGCGACGGTCGGATGGGTGGGTGACGGTACTGAAGATGGACTCGAGAAGCTCGTCCGGGAGAGACAGCAGACGGCAACGGTCACCGCGCTTCATGATGATGAGGAGCCGCGAGCTAGGGTTTGTAGCTGTGACGTGGCGGTAATATGAGGGAACCGCCTGGCGAACCAGATGCAATACGGCGAATCTTATATTTGCGGTGGTTGCGCGAGTAATTAATCAAGAAATTATGCTGGACGTTGCGTGCGTGCGTGCGTCCGCGAGATGGCGAGTGATGAGATGAGGGAAGTGCCGAACCAGAAGCATGCAGACGATGATCAACTCACAACTAGCACCTTTTGGCGTGCATGCAGCTTTGCGGACCAGAAATGGAAACGAGGAAATGTATGGAGGCGGGGCGAATTTCAAAGCAAGTCATACCGTGCTGTACGCGATACGGGGTATGCCGCCAAGTGTAGGTGGGTTAATTACACTCCGAGAGGACTGACAAGAATTATTTATAACCTGCCCTCAAAAGGATTTCCAAGATTGCAAGAATACAGCAAAATTGCAGATTCAAGGACCTGTTACAGTAGTTGTTTGGATGACCTGTTTACAACGCCCATGGGCCAGTGATTGATCAAACGCCCTCGCACTTTCAAAGGTCATATAAGGGCTTCATACGGTATATGGGGGAAAACGGTCATATCATATGCATATCCCGTTGTGCAGATGGAGCCAATAGGGCATATCCCCAAAAGCAACCACACCTAGGCCCTTGGACTATATACCTGCAGACTTGGGCCAATTTACGAGTACTTGTCACAAGAGCACAGTTGACAGCCAAGACGACATCTACGGTACCTTGCCCTAATACCAGGCCCTACGTTATCATGAATTTTTCCCTGAAATTCCTGATTTTCAGGGATTTTTTTGTACCTATCCTGATTTTTCAGTGTTCAGTTTTTTAAGGGGCTGATTTTTCAGCCTTTAGGTGCTAGATGACTCTGATCTTTCAGGTTTTTTTTCGAAAAGACACTGATCACTTTACGTTGTAACGAAACTGACCCTGAATGCGGTTCCTACACGTGCCGAGTGTAGGTGCCCAGAAGTACAGGGAATATCAGATTCCCGCGGTGTTTGGAAAAAAATTCGTCTGGTACTCACCGCCAGCACCACCTGGCGGTGAGAACGAGACAAATTTTACCCGAGTTTTACACCTGGTGGGCTGTTGAATTTGGCGCGCGTGGAACGATAGTTGCCCAGTTTCTCATCATTGCATGGGTTGACCAATCACAGGGTTGCAGCATAGCAATGCTGGCAGTGTGCGGTGCGAGGGTTTCTTGCACCTGTTGTCGTGTGGCACGTTTTGTCCAGGTCGTGCTGGCACCCTCTCTCTGCTCTGCTGTTGCGCCCATGCTTGCAAGCTAGCTAGTTAGTGTGTTCTAGTTATTGAAGTGTATCAGCGTTTAGAAAATGGGGACACTGATGCATCAGGGATTTTTAAAAAGGAACACTGAACTTTCAGGGATTTTTTTTTAGAGACACTGATTATCAGGGATTCTACACAAGGGGACCTTAATGCCTTTACGTGCCTAAAAGTGAATCATAGGCCCTGCCTAATACACTCATAACAACATACTAGGTTAACATACACAACACATGCAGACTATACGAATTAAAGCATCACGAAGGCATCATGTGATTGGCATAGTCACCAGAACCGTCCCCAAAGTCCTCTTCACCCCTCCCAACCGCACTGTGACCATGAGCTTCACTCACTCACACCCCCCTGACGACCACACCAGCACGCAGCAACTTCCGTCGAGCCTGTTCCGAAACCTTATCCGCTTCCACCTTCAACTGCCTCAGCCTTGGGAAGCTTGCAAGCAACCCGATGACCCCAGCAGCAGTGATATATTTGCAAGCAATGAGAGTGGCGTGGGTGAGTGTGTGGATTGGGCATGAGAGCAGCAGGGCATCGGACATGGCGTGGCAGTGCTCTACTCTCAGCTCCACCAACACCCGGCATGCACGCAGCACTGCCCTCAGCTGCTCCTCCCCCACCCAACCGCACTGCACCACTGCCAACCGCCTCAGCCCGTCAAACACAGCCGCCAAGGCAATGCTCTCAAACGACTGCTGTTGCTGACTGGGAGGACCAGAGGGGGAGGAACCAAGTGAAAACAGGGAGACTGAAGGGCGAAACGTGAAGCAAGGAGGAGTACGGGAAACTGGAACCAGGAGGGGGGATGTAGAAGGAAGATCTCCAGACAGGCAAGCAGGGTCAAAAGCAGGGTTGACATTCATATTTGCGAGGACCAGGGAGGCCAGGCAAGGGCAGATCACTTCCACTGGCGTTGCCCTTTCAAATCCCTGGCATGCCTTAGCTGCTGCAGAGCTCCTGCATGACTCCGAATTCTCTCCCCTTGACCTTCCTCCGTTTGTGCTCCCTCCTCCTGCCCCCCGGGTGCCTCAGCCGCTGCTGCTGGTAGCCCTTCGGCCCAGTCCGCAGCATTCTCCCACTGGAGAAGCGACTCGGAATTCTCATGCATGGCCGACAGACGCCGGCGCAGCTGCTCCGAAAGTTTCTCCAGCACCACAAGCAGCTCTTCACGTGACATTATGGGCATACCATCATCAGGCTCGGACTCCTCCAAACCGCTGTGAACCACATCCAGGGTTGCCCCAGCACGGTACTCCTGCTCACGAAACAGCTCGACCAATGGATCCCCACGTAGGAGGCATGGCGTAGCGTGGCAGCAGCTGTGTTTAGCAAACTGTTGTTTAGTTTGGTTTTGTGCTTGCTTGTAAAAACCTTGTGAAAACGAAAAGTTTGGCGGTAACTAGTTTCGGCTCTTCGAGCCTTCTTCAGACCACAAAGTTCAGAAATGAAAAGCAAGCAGGTTAAATACCAACCCCAAGGGCTCAATCGCGAGGCATTCCTCTGCGTGGCCAGGGAAGGTGGGGGAAAGCTAGATGAAGACAGTAGAAAACAAGTCTACAGTAAGCTAGCACTTATGAGCTGAAATTAAAAAATTACAGAGGTGGGGAGTTTTCCTCCAACCTTCTGCAGAGCTTTTGTTGTGGGGAGGGCATTCGCCAGACGTTCATGCTTCCGGCCTCTCCGCAGCAGAATGGGGTTGCTGAGCGCCGCATTGGCTTGGTCATGGAGGTCGCTCGTACCTCCATGGTCCATGCGGCTGCCCCCCATTTTCTGTGGCCGTTTGCGGTCCACTACGCCGCGCATCAGCTCAACCTCTGGCCCCGTGTCTCCCTGCCGGAGACCTCGCCCACACTGCGGTGGACGGGGGAGGTTGGCGATGCGTCGGTGTTCCGGGTCTGGGGTTCTCGTGCCTTTGTCCGCGATACCACCGCGGACAAGCTCTCCGCCCGCGCTGTTCCCTGTGTCTTCCTTGGCTTTGTCCCTGACGCGCCTGGTTGGCAGTTTTACCACCCCACCTCGCGCCGTGTCTTCCCCTCTCAGGACGTCACGTTCGACGAGTCGGTTCCCTTTTACCGTCTCTTCCCCTACCGCACTGCCCCTCTCCCCCCCCCGCCGCTCTTCCTCGCTCCAGGTGCTCCCCAGGTAGACCCCCTCCCCGCTCCCGGTCCTGCTCCTTCAGGTGTGTCTCAGGTAGACCTTCCTCCCTTGACTGCGCCGGTTGAGGTCACTGGTGACTCATGTCCTGCTGAGGGTGGTCCTGCTCGGGGTGCTGCTTTTGGGGGTGCTGAGCTTGGGGGTGCGGAGTCTGGGGGTGCTGGGCCTGGGGGTGCGGAGCCTGGAGGTCCTGAGCCTGGGCGTGAGGAGTCTGGGGGTGCTGAGTCTGGGGGTGCTGCACCTGGGGGCGCTGAGGCGTCTGGTGAGCAGTCTCCCTGGAGCGGCCGTCTCCGTAGTCGCTCCGCTGGTGCCTCGCCGCTGCACTCTCGTCGTCGTCTCCCTCTCTACCCACAGCAGCTGCGTGAGTGGTACGTTAGCCGTCAGGGTCGAGCTGCTGGAGCTAGGGGCCCTGCTGTGGGAGGCGCTGGAGCTGGTGACTCTACTACTGGAATTGTTTCTACTGGAGGCCCTGGAGCTTGAGGTGCCGGTTCTGGGGGTGCTACTGCTGGTGGCGCTGGAGCTGGAGGTTCTGGAGCTGCTGCGGGTGCTGGCGCTGGAGGTTCTGGAGCTGTTGGAGGTGCTGGCACTGGTGGCGCTGGAGCTGGAGGTTCTGGAGCTGCTGCGGGTGCTGGCACTGGAGGTTCCGGAGCTGTTGGAGGTGTTGGCGCTGAGGGTTCTGAGTCTGCTGTTGCGCGGTCTCCTTGGAGTAGCCGCCTTCGTCCGCGTGTGCCTCTCACCTCTCAGCAGCTGCACGACTGGTACGGTCGCCGTCAGGGTCGCGCTTCTGGAGCTCGGGGCTCTGCCGCTGGAGGTACTTCTGCTGCCATCACTGGAGTTGGGAGTGGTGCTGGTCCCGGAGGTGCTCGTACTGGAGGTACTGGAGCTGCTGGGGCTGGAGGTGCTGAGCCTGAGGGTGCTACTGCTGGAGACCCTGGGTCTGGGGGTGCTGCTGCTGGAGACACTGAGGCTGGAGACCCTGGGACTGGAGGTGCCGGTTCTGGGGGTGCTGCTGCTGGTGGAGCTGGTCCTGGAGGAGCTGGCGCTGAGGGTTCTGGAGCTGCTGGAGGTGCTGGAGCTGCTGGGGGTACTGGAGCTGCTGGTGCTGGTGGCAGTGCACAGCCGCGCCTGTTCTTCGCTCCAACGTCTCCGTCGTCTCAGCCACCGCCTGACTCTGTGCTTCGCCAGGTTCTTAGTCTCCCTTCGTCTACTGGTCTTCCGTTACAGCCTGGCTCACCGCGGCCTGCTCCTTCTCCTTACACTGAGCAGACAGGGGGTCTTACTGAGCGTCGTGAGCCTGCGTCGCGTCCTATCTTGCCTGTCCGTTCTGGTCGTTACGGTCGTAGTGTTCCTCGTCCGCGTCAGCCGGCTGTCCCCGGCACCCACCTCGTAGTCCGTCGTCCTTCCTCTCCTCCGCAGCGTGTTCCTCTGCCGTCTCCTCTTGCGTCTTCTGTGCCTACCGTTCCAGAGCCTGAGTCTGACCGCGTCCGTGCTGCTCACCCTACTGTCACGCGTCTGCTAGCCACAGTTGTCACTGACCCGTCGTTTGAGTCTGCTGCCGCGTCTGCCTTAGTCGCTGAGCTTGTTGACTTTGCTGTTACCTGTCGTCTAGACTTCGCCGCTAGTCTTGTTGCTGAGTCAGAGTCTGTCTGTCCTCCGTTCGTCGGGGGTGAGTGTGCTCTTGGCACGGACGTCCTTGAGGACAGGAAGGAGGACCTTGAGTGTCTTGCAGCCGCTGCGCCTCATCTCGTGTCCATGCTGCCCCTGAGGGAGACCCGGATGCTCCAGACATCCCGACCCCGCGCTCTTACGCTGAGGCGATCGCGGGTGAGTACTCCTCTTAGTGGCAGACAGCCGTGGACGCAGAGATGGCATCCTGGAAGTCCACAGGCACGTACGTCGACGAGGTTCCCCCTCCTGGGGCGAACATCGTCAGTGGCATGTGGATTTTCAGGGTGAAGCGGCCGCCAGATTCTCCGCCTGTCTTCAAGGCTCGTTACGTTGCTCGAGGTTTCAGTCAGCGAGAGGGAGTTGACTTCTTCCAGACCTTCTCCCCCACCCCGAAGATGACCACTCTTCGGGTGCTGCTGCATGTTGCCGCTCAGCGTGACTACGAACTTCACTCTCTTGACTTCAGCACAGCTTTCTTACAGGGCAGCCTGCACGAGGAGATCTGGCTGCGCCGCCCTCCTGGCTTTAGTGGATCGTTCCCTCCTGGTACCCAGTGGAGCCTCCGGCGGCCGGTCTACGGTCTCCGCCAGACGCCACGTGAGTGGCACAACACACTGAGGACTACACTTATTGCTCTTGGGTTTGCTCTGTCGACTGCTGACCCGTCGCTGTTTCTGCGCACCGACACTTCGCTGCCGCCGTTCTACATCCTCGTGTACGTCGACGACTTGGTCTTTGCCACTGCTGACACTGAGGCTCTCGCCCTGGTGAAGTCGGAGCTGCAGAAGAGACACACGTGCACAGACCTGGGTGAGCTGCGCAATTACCTTGGCTTGCAGATCACCCGGGACAGAGCACGCCGCATCATCACACTGACTCAGTCACACATGGTGCAGCAGGTCCTTCAGCGCTTCGGCTTCACCTAGTCCTCGGCACAGGCCACTCCTCTGGCTATAGGTCACTCGCTCTCAGCTCCACCTTCGGACGAGTCCGTAGAGCCGAGTGGTCCTTACCCAGAGCTAGTGGGCTGCCTCATGTACCTGATGACCTGCACTCGTCCTGACCTTGCGTACCCTCTTGGCCTTCTGGCTCGCTACGTGGCTCCTGGTAGGCACCGAAAGGTGCACATGGATGCTGCGAAGATGGTACTGCGCTACTTGTGCAGTACATCGGGCATGGGGCTCGTGCTTGGAGGACGGGGCGACGTTGTCCTCACTGGGCACTCGGACGCTTCTTGGGTTGACGACCTGGCTACGCAGCGGTCGTCACAGGGTTACACCTTCAGTCTTGGCTCTGGCTCTGTCTCTTGGCGGTCTACACGCTCGTCTTCTGTTCTCAGCTCCAGTTGTGAGGCTGAGATCTACGCCACAGCCATGGCTGCACAGGAGTTACGCTGGCTCACCTACCTGCTGACCGAATTGGGAGAGCGGTCTCGTTCTCCTCCAGTTCTGTACGTCGACAACAAGGCCGCCATTGCCTTGTGTCAGGAGCACAGACTGGAGCACCGAACGAAGCACATCGCTCTGCGTTACTTCCTGGCTCGAGAGTTGCAGCAGCGTGGTCAGCTTCGTCTTGCTCACGTGGCCACTCGGGCCAACACTGCTGATATATTCACCAAGGCACTTCCGTCTGGTGATCATCAGCGTTTCTGCACTTTGTTAGGCCTTGTGCCCACTTTTCCTCACTTGCTGTAGACGTTGCTTGTACTGTGATCTATATACATATACCTGCATGTTTGCTCTGCTAGGTAGAGATCACTGTGCTGTTGGTGTTGCATATATACCTCTGCATGTGAACTGGCCTTGTGGCCCTTTGCTTGTGCTCAGTGTCTGTGGTGACGTTGTGATCCACCCTGAGCTTGCTTTGCTCTTGACTGGTCCTGTGACCCCTTGCTCTCCCCCACTTTGCCTATGGGGGTGTGTCAAACATTATATATGCTATATGTGTTTAGGCTGTAGTGGGGTAGCCAATATGGGGTACAGCCCACATTAGGGTTTCTTATTTGTACCAAATTCTTTCATAGTTAAATCATTCCTGCTGCTAGATTCTAACACATACCATCATCAGGCTCGGACTCCTCCAAACCGCTGTGAACCACATCCAGGGTTGCCCCAGCACGGTACTCCTGCTCACGAAACAACTCGACCAATGGATCCCCACGTAGGAGGCATGGCGTAGCGTGGCAGCAGCTGTGTTTAGCAAATTGTTGTTTAGTTTGGCTTTGTGCTTGCTTGTAAAAACCTTGTGAAAACGAAAAGTTTGGCGGTAACTAGTTTCGGCTCTTCGAGCCTTCTTCAGACCACAAAGTTCAGAAATGAGAAGCAAGCAGGCTAAATACCAACCCCAAGGGCTCAATCGCGAGGC